GTTGCCAGATTATGCGAGGTTAAAAATATTCCATAATATAGGTTTTACCTATTACTTATGTTTCTCTAACTCTTCAAATGTTGAATGCATAACTAAGTCTAATATCTATTTTTTCATGTTTACACTATATTAATTTTATCTTATAAATTGTCCCGTTCTGTTACCCATGATATAAAAATAATTGTTTGTACGGAAAATAAGGATCTACGTACATCACTTCGTCTTTAAGTTAAGTGGCAACAGAAGAATTATCGTTGAACTTTTAAAAGATAAGCTTAAATATTAATGCAATACTTAAATGCAGCGATCAATTTTGAGTTCTTCTGTAGTTTATTATTGCCTATCACACTACTCCTCCCTAGCTATTGTGATGATAGCCAAACCAAGAGTCCTCTACAGGAGCTAGGTTAAGCTAGTATTTAATAGAATAGATAATATTTAAACCTATCTTCATAAAATTATCGGTAAATAATAAGCAAAGAATAATTAAGCTAAAAGATAAATACTCTTGTCTGTTTAACGGCATATCAACTGCTTATTTACATTATTCGGACTATTGCCTTCATCTTTGTTGCCATATTTATCACAACGTTTCGGCCGTTGTACGCTCCGACCTTCTTCAGGTGGTTCGAATGTCGCTCACTGGAGTAGACTGTTCTAGTTCCACGTGTCTTGTCTGATGGATGTCAGTTATCTCCAGTTAACTCGCCTCTCCAAGTTCTCCACTGCCTTAACCAGGTATTGAACTCACAAGTCTTTGATTCTAATTCCTTTATCCACTATGCCCTGTGTCCTTAAGGACATCTGTGTATGAATTTCTGGGACTTATAATCTTAATGTCTTCAGCAACCGTTTTTTAACAGTGCTCATATTACAATTTTTGCTGTTATCAATTACATGTTTTTTACCAGAGCTCATATTGCAATTTTCGTTGTTATTATTGCTTTTCTCTGGCACTCCTTATTACCGGTTCCTATATTGTATTCATTTCTATGCTTGGTTGGCTCAGGAGATTTTTGTGGCCTAGCATATGTGCTGATTATTTAAGTTTACGAATTTTCCAATGGTGTTCTTTGTCAATGATTTCAACCTGATCCCACAGAGGGCGGTGATCTCCCTTTTCTCTCTATATGTGGTCAGCCACGTTTGATTTTTCCACTTCCCCTCGTGTTACAGCTTTTTGGTGTTCTTGAAGCCTTACCTTAAGGAGGCGGCCTATCTCCCCTTTATATTTCTTTCCACAGCTGCACGGGATAGAGTACACGCAGTCTTTAGTCAAGAGATAACTGATAACTGACATTCATTAGACATGGCACGTGGAACTAGGATAGTCTACCCCAGCAAGCGACATTCGAACCACCTGAAGAAGGCCGGAACGTACAATGGCCGAAATGTTGTGATAAATATGGCAAAAAATAGTCCGAATAATGTAAATAGTGTATATAATACCTCATCTCAGAAATATAGACAGATACTGAAAGGCCGAAACGTTGTAATAAATATGGCAACAAAGATGACGACAATAGTCCGAATAATGTGAATAGTGTACATAATATTTCATCTCAGAAATATAGACAGATACTGAAGGGCCGGAACGTTGTAATAAATATGGCAACAAAGATGAGGACAATAGTCCGAATAATGTGAATAGTGTACATAATACTTCATCTCAGAAATATAAACAGATACTTATTTAATGCCTGAATTTTATTTTGTGAATACTGGTATTTTTTTCCAAAAATATTTCTATTAATTTTTTATTCTTTTACTATAAAAATGTATTGCTGGTAATTTTTTAAAAAGTATTTTTATATTTTCATTATTTGATCCCAGTTTGGGTGCTCACTCTTTCCCCATAGCTGGAATCTTAACAGGTGCTACCACCCTGGGTCAGGGTGGAACTTGGAACAACAGCTATTAAGAGGTGGTTCCACGCTCTTCGAAACCTTCTGATCAGAGGCCTTGCTACCGGATGTAGTTTATCGTAGTATTTTTGTGTGCGTTATTTTCTGAAAATACAAAAATGTTGCACAAGGCCAAGGGGTAGATTAAGGCTGGTCTTTAATCTGTAAACCGAGCTAGCCACAAATACTGACCCAAACATACCACAGTATTCCTTACACCAAAACGACACTTACCATTCTTACTATATCTACCACAATGCCTCAAAGTCTCTATGAAGTCCTAGCTAGTTCCCATATGTATCATTTGTCGTTAAAAATCACAACAATTAAAAAATATACCCCCAATGAATATTTATAATCTTACTCTTGTTCAATGCTGGAACAGTTCATTTATATTTCTTTATATTTCCTCCCCGGCACGGGACTTATCTCGTACGGCAGACATTATTTTTCAAATTATTTTCTCCGTGTAACGATTCCTTCGTTTCGCGTTTATTAAACTTATCGCATATATTCGTAACTCGAGTAAAGTTTGAGTTTTTATGAACAGTTTTTTTACGCAAAAAAAGGGATCGTTCTATATAATAAATGCGAATGTCAGTGTTACACTTTTTCAACTGAAAGAGACACAACTCTTTAACTTTCAATAGCTCATGTTCAAATAAAAAAAAATACTGTTTTTTAAATTACAGTGTTTTTTTTTTTTAAGGAAATTCACTCCAAGCAAAGGGGCGTGTCACTAGCATGCAAGGGGTTACAGAGGATTGAGAACAAGGTAAAGAGGTATGTTTGAGGAAAGGATGCAGAGACTGACAGGGTGTCAGATGTCGATTGACATTACACTTGAATACTTGAAGATTGTTGTCATCGAGGAAGCAAGTAAGGGGAAGGGAGTTCCACAGACGAGAAGTGCGAGAGAAGAAGCTGTTTGAGTAAAAGAAACGGTTACATTTAATCGTTTTGACAGTGAAAGGGTGGGACCGAGATGCCAGCCTGCTAGCTCGCTTAAATTCATGCAGTCTGGGAACCAGCGAAAGTCACTCGTCGGAACAGTTGCCGTGAAAATACTTGTGGAAGGAGGCCACGGCACATCTGTGGGATAGCGACTGTATAAAATTCTCCGTGTAGCCCAACATATCATACCATTTTGGAATCAAGCCGATTCTGTGAGCAAATTAAAAACATTCCGGGTAGGATCCGAACCCGCACTCTTGAAATTGTGGATTCCCATTTTTTCATTTCTGCGGTTGCCTTCGACGATATTTTAAGTAATTTTTACATTTTTTTTTTGTTTTTTTGTACGATAACAATTTTTATAACTTGAAAATAAATTTGGGAATAATCGAAATTAATTGCGAAATCCAGCGGAAATTACCCATGAAATAAAAAGGATTGTTTGTACGGAAAGTAAGGACCTATGTTCACCAAATTGTCTTTAAATTAAGTGGCAACAGAAGAATTATCATTGAGCGTAGCTTAGATGTGACACAAAGTTGAAAGTATAGCATACTATATATAGCGATCAATTATGAGTTCTTGTGTCGTTTATTGTTGCCTTCGCATCTACTCCTCCTATTGTGATGAAGGCCCAATCACGAGCCGTCCGCAGGAGCTAGCTTAAATACCACCCGATAGGGCGGCTTTTAAACTACTTTATTATATGCCTTAGATCTATTGGTATTATTTGTACAAAAAAAGAATGAAGATCATTTGCTATAAAATATGTCCAGGATGATGCCCAGTACTACAGTAGGCCAACTAGTATTGCTTAGAAGCTGGGGTCACATTATACACAAGCTATATGAAAAAAATAGGTTTTTCACAAAAAATTCAGGGTTCGCACTGTACATAAAGTGGGTTTATACACGAGTATATAAGAATTCCCGGCGGAACGTTTATTTGAAACAGCAAACTTAGTTTATAAAATTGAATAATTCCTACCGGCTTGATTATTCCAGACAATACTCGTATTTGGTACAAAAGAGTATATAAAAATTCCCGCCTGTCTATTTCGGTCATCCTTGAGTGTCTTATGTTCTAGAATGTTTTCGAATCCTGTTTGGGGTAATGTGACCAGTGTTTATAGTCGACATCAGAATGATCACCCAAAATAGGGTACAACAGCATTCGAGAACAAAGCAGACACCCGGGGATGGCCGGAGAGTACACTATCTAAACATTGTAGAAAAAACAACAAAGCAACAAAAGAACAAAGCAACAAAAAACAAAAGAACAAAAACAATAAAAGAAAGAAAAAAAAATCAACAAAAGAAAAAAAAAACGAGGAAATTAATACAAACAAATCTATTTACAATAATTAAAACATTCCGTATAACAAAATTCAACTAAGAACGAAAATACATCTTCATGAGACACTGAAAATTATTCCAGTCTACTACTTCTGCTTTTGTTCTGTGTTAATAAGCATATCCCATCTCCCCTCTCGCTTGTAACCAACCATCACAATAAACGTTTTTCAGCACGAAAGCTGAGTCAGACAAATAAAGTTTCATAACCTTCTACTTTCCAAGTTAAAATTCATAGACAAGCGCCTGCATTCGGGTTATTTTAATCGCTTCTCCTCAAACAAGTTGATAAAGCCACTGAAACACAAGGGTTTACTGCGAATGAAAGATAAGAAAACAAAACGTGAGGAAAAAAGACAATAAAAAACAAAATCCAGGAAGACAGAAGATGGCGATTGATGTTGCATTTAAACTTTTGACGGACGCATATGACAGGAGAGCAAGAAACTGGAAGAAAGTTCCACAAGTGAGAAGTGCGAGAAGCTAATTTCACTCGTTACTATTGCTGGTATGCTGTTTTGAAGATAATCTGGTGTGTAGGTTTCATGTTGTTGAAAATGTCAAGTAACCCCAATTGTACACCCCGAAGGACACGGCATAATATCCTGACGATCAAGAGATAATAGGCTTTGAATAAATTATGACAAAAAATAGAGTACTTCAATGGTCGGATAACTCGACGCGTCGACTGATTGCGAAGTGTATTGAATTTGATCCTTACTGGATACCAAGCATTTGTGCTACTCTTCTAGATTAAGCAGAGTAAACTGTGTGTGTGTGTGTTTTACATTCACTCTTCTCCCCTCGTTATAGATAGGTAAAGAAAGAAAGAAAGAAAGAAAGAAAGAAAGCACACAGCAGGTGCAAGAAAGAAAGAAATTGGAAAAAGACAATTGGTGTAAGAAGAAGAAAGAAAAGTAATGAACGAAAGAAAGAATAATGGAAGAAAAAAAGAAAGAAAAGAAAGAAAGAAAAGAATTGAAGAAAGAAAGAAAAGAAAGAAATTAAAGAAAGAATGGAAGAAAGAACGTCGAAAGAAAAAAAGAAAAATAAAAAAAGTAGAAAAAAAAGAAAGAAAAGAAAGAAAAATTGGAAAAAGACAGATAAGAAGAAAGAAAAACTGTTACGAAATAAAGAAGTTGGAAGAAGACAGTAGGTACAAGAAGAGAGAAAGAAAAATGTTAACAAAGACAGAAAGAAAGAAGTTGGAAGAAGACGACAGGTGCAAGAAAGAAAAGTTAACAAAGAAAGAAAGATGAAAGAAGTAAGGACCTTTAAGGTTGTAGAATCAACAATGTTGGAGTCATATTCACAAAAAAAACAAAAAAAAAAACAGACAGGTAAGTAGTGATAAATAAAGCGTAACGACTGTGATGATTAATAAAAACACCTGCCAGTTTTTGTCAAGTACATTCTAATTTTGTGGGGTGAATATTTTTTTATCAATGACGCCGAGAGTCGCTTAAAAAAAATCTGATAATAACGACAAGACAAACTTGAGAAGAAAAAAAAAAAAGTAGGTGAAAGTCGTCTTGATTTTTAATCTTGAGAAAAAGCAAATACGGAATGTGACCTGTAAAATAAAATAAAATCTTCTTCTTCAGGACGTTGGCGATCATTGCTCTGAACAACTTCCTGCCTTTTGTTGATGTAAGTAACTGTTCACTTGTTTACCATACCTCTTTGTCCTTTGTTCTGTTATCCAGCCATTCAAGTAGGTTACTCACTTTTCCTCCTGCTTTCCTTGTCTTTAATTATTAAATCCTCTAATTTTTTCCCCCTCCTTTATGCATCCCAGAAATTTCAATTGCTTCTTTCCGAATGGAAGCATAAGCTTCCCTGTTGTTCATATTTCCTTGAAACTTCCTCATTGCTCACATACTATATCCATGGTATTCTTAGAAGTTTATTTGTCATATCCATCCGGAACGTGTGTGATTATGGATCTCCACATATTCGTGGCCTTTGTTGCTCCAAGTAGATTTTGACTCTTTTACTATCCCTCTTTGTCCTTTTTCTGCTCTCCATTCTTTTATGTGACAAATCCTTTCAGAAAGTGGGCAATCATGGCTCTCCACATCTTCCAGTTTTTTTCTACTCTAAGTAATTTTTTTACTACCCATCTTGTGGGTTACCCCATTTAGCTTTAATTCGTTAAAAACTGTCGTTAGGGGCCACTCTTTAGTTTAAGCCTATAAATAGGCAATAACATTCTCAGTCGCTTTCTTTTCTATTTTTCTCTCAGGTAATAATGTCGTTCGCACGTGGTAAAAATGTGTCCCCCACCGGGGATCGCGCGTTCACTTCATTTTCAATTAATTTTCTCTCGGATTTCTCCTACACAAACTTCATACACACAAAGACATTCTAGTTTAAATGTTTTCTTGCAATAATTATATTCTTTAAATGTTTTCTTCTTTCATATTCGTTGTTTTTGTCACCCGCTACAATCTTCTATTGCCATTGTACATTATTGGTAAAAATACATTGTTGTTTGTTGTATATAGTATTGTTGTTACTTTATTTATTTATTTATTACCCGGACTCACATTCGAGTCCGCAATAATGTTGTGGGAAAATATACCAGGAGACGTGTTTTTTACTTAAACACAAACAGCATTGTTGCAAACTCTTTGTTCTGTCACCCATGCTTTTAGTTTTATGTGACAAATCCTTTCAGAACGTGAACAATCATAGCTCTCCCCATCTTCCTGTCCCTTGTTGCTCCAAGTAACTTTTGTTTGACTCTTTATTGCCTCTCTTTATTCTTGCTCTGTTATCCACCCACTCAACGTCATTGTAGGTTACTCACATTTTTCCTTGCTTCTCTTGAATTAATTAAATTATCTAGGCTTTGTTATCCTCATTATATATACCAGACGTTTCAACTGTCTCTTTCTGGTTGTAAGTATAAGTGTTCTTATACTTCCTCATTCATCGCATGGTCTATGTTATTAACGGCCTCCATTAGTTGAATCCCATCTCAATTCTCGTAGGTATATATATATTTAATTTGTGACAAAATTGCCATTTCAATGCCAAATATATGGATAGACATTACAAGAGGAATCTAGAACATTTCTTTGTTTCTAATTTTATTTCACAATCTCTTAGTACCTTACTCTTAAATTCCACAGTCTTTCCTCATTATATTCCCCAGAAATTTCAAAGTTTCCTTGCAGCGTTCCTTTAAAACATACGAAATTAAGAAAAACTTATCTATTTATTAAAATATTTATTTCATAAATAAATAAAATGACTAATTTTGTTTAGATATTTTAAATAAATTAAAATACTGCCTATTTTATTAACTATATTTATTAAAATAGGTTATATATTTAAAAAAAAAAAAAAAGAAAAAAAAAAGTGATATTGTGATTGTTGACGTACTTAGATATTTACACGAAACTTTGTCTGCTTTCGATAGGTGAGGTGAGGTCAATGTGTTTGTTTGTGTGTTTGAGAAGGCTAAATAATAAATAAAATGACGTAGTTATTTTCCAAGCGTAGCTTAAATGTGGCACAAGGCCGAAAGTATGGGACACCCAGTGAGGATCGAACTCACTACCCAGTCGTAATTGTTCTCTAGCGAAACAAGCTTGCTAAACATTTACCACCTCGAGGTGCCCAATAATAAAATGATGTATCCGAGAATAATAGTAAATGATTTAGGCGTGTCAATTGGTAAAATAAGTTCTCGTGGACAGTAATTATTAGGTTGGTGCAAAAATAATGACGTAATAATGTCGTTTTTTGCCGTATTGTTTAACGTTAAAAAACGACATTATTACGTCATTATTTTTGCACCAACCTAATAGTAAAATAATCTGTCGGGGGCGGTAAAATTATCTGTTTGAGAGCAGTATAATGAAAAATGATGTTGGGGGCAGTAAACAGCGAAATACTTCGTTAGGGGTAATAATTAGTATAAATAATAAAAAATAAAGTAAAAATAATCTGTTAGGGAGCCGTAATTAATTAAAAAAAATTGTTGTGGTCGGTAATTAATTAGTAAAATGAAATATCGGAGAGGTAATTGGTAAAATTATCTGTCGAAGAGTCGCTAATTAGTAAAACCAGGGATAGTAATTATTATTAAAATGTATCAGAAGCCTGAATTAGTTAAAAAAATAGTTGACGGACTGTAATTAGACAAATTAAAATTTTTAGGCCTTTGCCATTAAAAAAAGATGACACAAAATTTGTATAATCCGTTTTATACCGGTCCCCCCACTTTCAGAAGTAAAAAAAAAAGATGAAAACAAAATTTCTTTGACCGATATAAGATTAACAAAACAAAAGGCTAAAAAAGAAAAGAAAAGAAATGAATAAAAAGATATAAAACAAAATAAAAACAAATAAACATCACAAAAAAGACGTCTGTGTGTGGGTTTAGAGAGTTTGAAAACTGTTGGCAAAGTGTTTGTTTTTTTCCATCTATCTTGCGTTCCAGCAAAATAGATCAAAGAGACTGACTTATGTGCAAAATCAAAATCAAAGAGACCGACTTATATGCAAGTTAGTAAAACCAGACAATCAAGCAGTACACTGTATTAATTGTTTGGCCGTACTGCAATATATATATATATCTCTTCCTTATGCCACCACTCTCAAAAAGTGTGGCTATGACCTTTTCGGTCGACCTTGTAGAACATGAATTTTTTCCAACATCGAGAACCCTGTATGGACTGACGTTTACTTTTTAGGGTAACAGGAAAAAAATTCCCAGACTCTTATCTCAAAAGAGCGAGTACCTCCACAAAAAATAATGATTTATTTTAGTCTGGTAGATTTAAATTCAATATTTCAAATAAGCAAAATATAAAAATAATTCAAAACTAATTTAAATGGATGGAAGGAGTTTCCGCTTTGAAATTTCTAAATTTTTTAAATTTAATGCCCTTTTTAGCAAACCGTTATATAAATAAACTTTATTTAAGAAACATTAACTGATTTAAAGTATAATCTGATTTGAAACAAAGTTTAAAAAATATCGCAGAAACCGTGTTTTGAAAAATGAAAACATTTTATAAAACATACATACAACAAACTATTTCTTATTTAACAGTTAAAATATTTTAATCCTTGAAAATGGCTAAATGTATAGCGGTTGCTATGTTTTTCACACCCACATACACTCCAAGTCATTTTATTCACCTGCGATTGGCTAATAAATTACTACTACCTTTGTATAGGACAATTTAGCCATCGCAGTCGTTCCTTTGAATCTTTTGTTTCTGAGCATACTTACCTATTCTGTTTAGTACGTGTGTAGTGATTGGTTAATTTTAACCAGTCACATATTTTTAATGTAAGATCAAGTTTTCCCGCGGTTCCATGAGAGTCTACCTCTTTTCCTAAAATAGGGCGACTTTTCGCAAGTTGCCAGTAAGATCCAGTAAGATCCAGTAAGATCCCAGCCGTCAACACAAATCCACGATCTTGCTCATCACACTCTAACGCACACACAGTCACAGAATTTCGTAACTACAAACTTACATTTTCTCTCCGTAACTTTTGCCAAGCACAATCAACCAGAACTTTGTTGATTCCAACCAGTTTATTCACAAACACATTTCAAGCAATTGTATTCTTGGTGTTATTCATTCTTCACATGCAAACTTTGCTCTAACAATTATTTCGGAACATTTATCTCACAAGAGAACTTTCTTCAAACGGTTGATTACAATCAATCTACAGTCAAAGGGAAAGAACTTCCTTCTCTTTAATCTACATTTTGAATACGATTTTATTTCATGCTTGTTGCTGTATTTTATTCAATATATATTTGTTGGTTAACAAATTGGAGTTGTTGTTATTATTTCTTGAATCCTGTATGTGTAAGAATCATTAATATAAATAGTAGTAGTACCTATATATTTGGTATTCCTGCTACATTTAGCGAATCGACCCGACGCTATATTTGGTACATACGCTACAAAAAGAACATACGGACAGTTTTTATATAATTTATCATCCGAAAAGAAAAAAATTATTAGATCGCATGAGAAATTGTATAAAAAACTAAATAAAAGCACCTTGTCTGTCATATTCAATGAAATGTACATATATGAAGCAAGAGTTTATATATATATATATATATATATATATATATATATATATATATCTGATGATGATTGCCATTTTGTTGTTGAGTTTGACCATTAGGAGACTCAGCTGTAACTTGCAATATCCAAGTATCAAGCAATGGCTGTGCATGAAGTTTTAGTGGAGAAAAGACGTTCAACTGGGTCAATATCACCTTTAGATTAGCTTTTGCAGAGGATTTTTAAACCTCCAGACTTTTACCTTTACCCTCATGTGTACGTAAAAGTTATAAGAATTTAGAAAATAATAAAATTTTCTTTTTATTCGACACCTTAATTAATTCGACATAATCTTTCTTCATATATGCAACCGATCTCCGTAGTTTGTTTACAATTAATTTTGCGCGCAATTTTTATTTTCGTTTAAAAATCACCATTCTTTATGATCTCTTCACATAAAGGCAATCTTAAAAGACATTAGGGAACCTGAATTATATAATATTTCGAATACGTCACAGTACGCGTGGTAGAAAAAGAAAATCATGTGAGCAACGTACCCTACCCCACTTAAGTTTTAATTACGGTTTAATTAGGCTATACCAATTGCAATTGTGACGAAAAGCGAAATTAAAATTAAACCCTTAATAAAGAATTGTTTTTTAAACCTTTCATTCTGTTTGATATTTATATTTAACTGAATTATTTAATTTTTAATCGCGTGTAATTACAATAGTTACTACCTGTTACTTCAGGTTGCTTATGATTAGCCGAGATCGAAAAACGGATGGACTGACGGACACACGTACACTGTGCTTTATTTATATAGTAAAAGATAGAAGTGAACAAATTTATTTTGCTTATTAATATATCTTAATATCAAGCACTAAATTACAAAAACTGCTTGATTTAAAGGTTGTCTTCCAGAATTACCCTGGTTGACAGATTTACAGCAAAATACAATCTTTGTTATTATTACTATCTATAGTTGGAACCTTAGATTGAAATGGATAGATAGTACTGAAGAGAACAAGATAGAGAGATGTGAACAGTCTGGGAGAGATCCAGAGAGAGACGGAGAGATAGCTGCGAACAGACCGGGATAGAGATAGATCTGAACTGAATATATATATATATAAGAGAGAGATAGATGTGAACAGATCGGGGGAGGGAGAGAGGATCCGAATGATCCGAGATAGAGAAAGAAATGTGAACAGAGAGACAGAGAGAGAGAGAGAGAGAGAGAGATATTTACATCCTCATTATACACAAATCAATTACGTCAACAAGCGATATTACATTCTCACCTGTCGAAATAAATTTGTTGTCGAAAGGGAACCAAATCGGAAATGTCGGTGTTTTTTTTTTTTTTTTTTTTCAAGGTCTTCTTTTAACATCATCACGAATGTACGTTTCATTTTTTATTTTATTTCACCGTTCGAGTAAAATAAGATTTTATTGGGAGAAAAAAAAATGGTAAATTTTTATTTTAACACCCGAGCGCTAATATCCCTTCAAATTTTTCCAAAATAGTCTTATTTCCGTCCAAATGTATATGCTGAACTCAAACCAACAATTAGATATTGAAGAAACCTACCTTTTTGGATGTTAACGACCCGAAAAAAATCGGACTTTTTCCTGGTCTTTCGTCAGCCATTACCAGCTTCTTATTGATAAGTAATTCAGTGCTGAATTTTGTTGATGGACGTATACAATTTGGGCCTATTTACTTCCTTCACAGTAATTCCTTGTAGAAATTAGTACGCGCTTTTTTTTTTACTTAATTTAAGAAGAAAGTTAACTTTCAAATATATGTTAACATCGACAAATAAAAGAATAACAAAGTATTTTTTTTTTAAGAAAGTTAACTTTCAAATTAGGGTTAGGTATTTTTTTTTTTATTATTCTATTTTTTTTTTTTGTTATTCTTTTATTTGTCGATGTTTACGGAAGCGCGTACTAATTTCTGAAAGAAAATAGTTCAGCAGTGAATGACGCTCGGGTGTTAAAATGAAAATTTACCGAAAAAATAAAGTCCATAAAACAAGGACAATTATAAAGAACAGGGAGAGATTGAAAGTAAATAAAATGTAGAACAAGTCAGTTAGAGAGGAAGAGAGACAGAAGAAAAAGAGGGAGAAACGGAAAGAAAGAAAGAAAGAATATATTTATAAAAGAAAAAAATAATGAAAGAAAATAAGAAATAAGAAAACTAAAGAGAAAACAAAAAGGACGAAAAAGAAAGTGAAACAAAAATATTAAGAGCAGGAAAAGGAAAAAAAGGAAAAAAGAAAAGAAAGTGGAAGAGAAAAAGAAAAGAAAAACGAAAGGGAAAAAAATGAAAGAGAAAAAAAGAAAAAAAGAAAGGTAAAAGATGGCAATGAAGAAAGAAAAAGAAACTTGAAAGACAAAGGTGGAGAGAAGAAAGAAAAACGAAATGTGAAAGAAAAGGTCGCTAAAGAAAAAGAAAGGAAAAAAGAAAAGGAGATAGAGAAAAAAAAGAAAGTGAAAAGTGAAACAAAGAAAGACAAGCTGACGTAGAGAAGGGAACAAGCAGTCTCACCCATATTCACCTCCCATCGTCCCCCATTTACTGACGCTAGTGAACTGACCTGATGGCTGCGATTTGGGGGTGGGTGGAGCTTGTCCCCCCCCCTGCTCCTCTATCGGTCGTCTCTTTGTCATAACGTGTTGTACTTAGTTTCATTCAAAGTGGGTGATGGTGGGGACAGGAAAGGAAATAAAATTAAAAGAGGAAAGGTACATCATTGAACACACGCACACACATGCGCTTCGCGGACTGACTGCTCACAAAAGCCTTACAAACTCGTTTTACAAGACCTGAAGAATCTGTTTGTAGTGAAAAATCCTGGGTTTTATTTTTATTTGTATAAATTCCAAATCGATGGTGAGTAGATATATTGAATTGAACCGTTTTTTTTTTTTTTTATAAATTGAAGGAAATTATACGTTTTATTTTTTTTTTCACTCTCTACCGAACAAGACTGTTATTTCAACAAAGCTCTTATGTACTGTAGTTAAAAAGTTGATTTACCTCACGTGAAAGAACTTGGAAGTATGATTGTATTAATTATTTCTTTCGTTCATTTCTCATGCGACCTTACTCGTTTGTTGTTGTTGCTACACATTTACAAATTTACATGAAATAACAATATACAATCTCTGTTCACATCTAACCATCGCACGAGTTAATTAAGATGAAGCTATATCACATTTCAAACCTGGAGCTCCAATGTGGATGACCCCCTAAATGGTAAATGCCTGGGGGTCAAAAAAGGGATTGATAAATAAATTGTGGTGACTTACTACGACGAAAACTCAAATTTCCAACCAAATATCAATGCCTTTTTTGCATCAACCCCTCCCCCTTCCCATTAACGATGTAATTCATTTTTTAAAGGATTTTTTATTTATTTTATTTTATTATACTATTTAAAAAGTTTCTTTTTCTCTTGTTGTCATTGTTGTTGTTGTTATTATTATTATTAATATTGCTGGAGCAAACATGTCTGCTGGTATCTGAAGAAAAATAGAAATTGAACCCCCCCTCCAAAAAAAAAAAAACAAAACCCAAAGCAAAACGTAAAGTTAAAAAAAAAAAAAAAAAAAAAATTATCAAGAAGCAGTGATGAAGGAAAAAAAAAGAAAGAAAGAAAGAAAAGGAATTTATCTTTAAATACAAATAATTAATAATTATTATTGTGTATTAATAATAATATTATTGATTATTAACAACTTATGAGAAAACGAATTTTTTACATACCAAGAACAATTTTTTTTCGAAAAATCTATATGACAAAGTGGAAAAAAAAGTTTTTATCATGTGAAGTTTCGTCTTTTAAGACTTCAACTGTGGATGAGGGAATCGGTCATTCAAATCAAAACAAAACCCACTCGTACACGTGTGTGTAGTAGTCGCATCAACGTAAACTAAAAACATCACTTTTTTTTTTTTTTAATCTGGTGAAGTCCTAAAAAGAAAGAAACACGTTCCGTTATATTACACGAAAACTTTTTCAACTTTCACTTTATCATAGATTTTTTTTAATTTTTTTACCTGAAACTATTATGAGGGATCATGGTTCTCTCTCTCTCTCTCTCTCTCTCTATAGCATCATTAAATTTAAAATGTTTGGGGGCTCTCATTAAATAAATGAAGTATTCATTCTTGCTACTTTTAAATAAAGTAATTTCTTATTTACATTTTTTTTCTATTCCGTTGTTACTAGAGATGTTAATTGGCAGTTATACCAACTTCCTTTTATATTTTTTTTTGTTTCATTTCTATATCTCCCCAATACTCAGTCAAAACTCAATCTGTCACTATGTCACACAAACAGACGTTACTTTTTCTTTTCTCTTTCTGTTGTCGCTTTAAAAGAAAAAAACCTATCAAGCTCAAAGTTTGTCACGCTAGCTTGACCATCTGTTCATTAGAAGTTCAGTTAAACATCAATTGCAAGACAGCGTATGGTTGTCAGCAAAAGGAACAACCCAGACAAATTAGAGATACCAAATAAATCAAGCAAGTACAGGGTGGTCCTAAAGTCTTGTCATCCCTACCTAATATAATTAATTTTCTATTTCAACGATCTGAGGGGTATTTTCATCAAAGAGAGAGTTTCACCTGAACGATACCAGAATACCCATCAGTTGAAAGACGTCGTTCGGAGAGTCTTTGTAACAAACAACAAAGCACAGCTTCGTAAAATATCGCACAGGACATGGCGCCGTATCATTCCATGAAAATGATCGTCTTCATAACAGACCTTCTCGATGTGTGATGGCATCAATTAAAGTGAATAAACCGAATCCAGTTCATGTGCTTTGTATTACTTGTTGTTCTATTGTTCTCATTACTGTTTTGGTGGGCAGTGACAAGACTTTCAGAGAATCCTGTACACTAATTTAAATATCTGAGATACTTGTAAAATCTCTATTGTGTTCGTTATCTTTATCAATTCCCAGGAAGGGAAGGACCATTTTGAAAAGAGCAATGCATGTGTTTTTAGTTTAGACAAGGCGGACCGAAAGTCTTCTCACCCCTACATATATGAAAATGAAAGTGTCTAAAAACTGAATCCAGTACATGTGCTTTGTATTACTTGTTCTTCTATTGTTCTTATTACTGTTTTGGTGTGTGTGTATGTGTGTGTGTGTGGGGGGGGAGAGAGTGACAAGACCTTCGGACCACCCTGTACAACAATTTAAATATCTGGGAAGTGATTTTTAAAAGATTTACAGTGTGACACTGAAATCCGAAGATGCATTGTGATAGTGAAAGATGCCTTCCAAAAGCTAAGCAAAGTATTATTAAGAAATAGAAAAATTTCCTTAGAAACAAAGAAAAGAGTAATTAACTGTTCAGTCCTCCTATATGGCAGTGAATACTGGACAATCTCTTCACAGATGAGGAAGATACTTGAAGCAATAGAAATATGGTTCTACAGAAGGATGCTGAGAATACTATGGACTAAATGTGAGCAATGGCAAGGTTTTAGAGAAAATGGAAATAAAGTAGACATTTAACATCATGAAGAGATAGTTGAACTTTTTAGGGCACATAATGGGGAAAGAGGCCAGCACATAACACTACCTAACAAGCTTGTGTAAATAGATTGCAGAACACAGATTAGGATAGATAGCAAAAAGACAGAATTTACTAAGAGTTACAAAGGACAAAAATGTGGAGAGCTATGACTGCCAATGTCATGAAGGGACATGGCACATAAAAGAAGAAAACACAGTTTGGATGTGTGGGTAGTGTAATGTGGAAAATGTAATCAATGAGCTGAGTTCAAATCCTAGGCTAATCTGTTGCACTCATTTTCACATTAATCTGTTGCTATAACCACCTCCTTAGCTAGGGGTTAAATAGCAAGGTAGACTGTGCTCTTTAAACTATGGAGAAGGCAATGGGAATCCACTCCACTATCTTTTCCAATTCACAGACAATAAAAGAAAGGAATAGGTTGTATGTTGCTTTTGTTTAGCTGCATATCAACACCTCTATGGGTTATTTAATGCTGAAATCTTAATATTTTGTATGCAATTTTTTCGTTTTTTTATATTTTGGAAGATATTAATGGTTTAGTGATACAAGTCTTACTAATTAACCCATACCTAGGGGGAGAAGAGTTAGATTCATACCTTTTTCAAGGGTATTTATGCCTAAGTGAATATAATGAACCCAATGGGAATTGGAACTTGGTTCTTTGATTAACAATTCTGAGCCATTATCCATTACACCACCTGCACATCCAAGCTTGTAGCATCTGTTATTCCCAAGCAGTCACCCATCTAGGTACTGACCAGGCTCAATGTTGCTTAACTTTGGCGATCATACAGGAACTGGTATTTCAGTGTGATGTGACCATAAGCAAAGGAATAACTTAAAAACAAACTTTCCTGTACTGTTAGTAATTTTTCTATAAAAATGTATTTTTACATTTTTTTAGTGTTGCGTTGATTGTCATTTTGCTATACTTTTTTGCTTTGAATATACGCTCTTCTTAGCTAGAGGGCATCGTCAGTGATGTTCTGAAATTGGATCATTGGGCAGTTTCGGGTCTTTCAAACATCATACTGACCTCACCAAGTCGACCCCATCAGATCTGATCAGACTCTGATACGCCCTCTAAAAGAATGCTTGTAGACACTGACTTCTATAAATGTACCCCGTTATCACACATTTGATTGGAGGTTGACCAACAGCCAAATCACAAAATATTAAATAATATAAAACGTTTAAAACATGTTGAGTAAAAAACAAGTAATAAATAAATTACAGCGATTTAAACCGAGAGTGCTTAAAAATATAATAAAAATATTGTTGGTCATTTTATTATAAAAAATATACTGTTGATTTTTGTCTGGGGATTTGCTATTTGTCCATAGCTAGAACCCTAATAAGTGCTACTTCCTTGGGTCAGGGTGGATCTGGGAACAACAACAATTAAGAGGTAGTTCCACGCTCCTCAAAACCTCCAATCTTCTGATCAGGGGCCTTGCCACTGGATGTAGTTTATCGTCATACCCAGTACGTTATGTTGTAAAGGAACATGACCTGTAGAAGAAGTAGTTTTGATTGAAAATGTTACATCCATATAAAATTTATATTAAATAAAACATTTTCTTTTATTATTCTTCATTGTCTTGCAGTAAAGATGGCCTCCAGCACTATCAAACGTAAAGAAACAAAACCTGGAGACATAGATGAGCTGAGCCCCTTCAAGAGACTTCGTATTTATGCCCCCGAAAAAGATAAAAAGGAAGCTGAACAGAGTAAAAAATTCAACAGTCAGACTGAAAAAGCTTTTAGAAAACAAGGTATGTATAAGTATATTACCTGTTTATCAAAATATATAAGTAATTTTATTTAGAATATAAGTACCTTTGTTCAAAGTATATGAATCTTTATTAAAAGTATATGAATCTTTATTAAAAGTATATGAATCTTTATTAAAAGTATATGAATCTTTATTAAAAGTATATGAATCTTTATTAAAAGTATATGAATCTTTATTAAAAGTATATGAATCTTTATTAAAAGTATATGAATCTTTATTAAAAGTATATGAATCTTTATTAAAAGTATATGAATCTTTATTAAAAGTATATGAATCTTTATTAAAAGTATATGAATCTTTATTAAAAGTATATGAATCTTTATTAAAAGTATATGAATCTTTATTAAAAGTATATGAATCTTTATTAAAAGTATCTGGGACTTTATTAATTTTATGCACTTTCATTCAAAATATAAGTACCTTCATTCAAAATATAAGTACCTTCATTCAAAATATAAGTACCTTCATTCAAAATATAAGTACCTTCATTCAAAATATAAGTACCTTCATTCAAAATATAAGTACCTTCATTCAAAATATAAGTACCTTCATTCAAAATATAAGTACCTTCATTCAAAATATAAGTACCTTCATTCAAAATATAAGTACCTTCATTCAAAATACAGGTACAGTAGGATCTTGAAGTTTAATTAATTCACAGGCCGAGCTCATATTGCAAATTACACATATTACAAAGCATCTTTTCCTACTAAAATTAATGGAAGATTAATTAATCCATTTCATTTCCCTTAAAGCATCCAAAATGTCTACTTTAGAATTTAAAAAATATAAAATGGACACTAAGAAATGAAATCCCCAAAAAGTACATATAATAAGAACATAAGGTAGAATGAAAGAAATAAACAGCTTTTATTAAACTACAAACCTTTCATGACAAAGTTTCTGGCATCTTTACTTAGAACTTAAGGACTTTTGTGGAATTTGATTCATTTTCGGCACTTGCTGGTCGATTCTTTAGAAACTTGTTGTATAGGAATAAAGTGTTGCTACCGACACTGGAGTTTGAACACAGATCACCAAAGAGCAAACACAGGTGATCCCATTTTGAATAAGTAGATCATGTGATGGTAAAGGAAATGTATATATGGGAATTAAAGTGGCGTCTAAGTGATCACTATATTGATTACTATTCTGATCACTATTTGGCGGTTACTTTTCGAGCGAATATTATCAAGCAAGTACTATTAGTGCAAATGATATTCAAAGGCGTCTGACACCAGTATTGTTCAACGGTGTTACTATAGTTGTGTCTGTGATTACAAAGTCTCTACTACAACAAGTATTATGAAAATGACAATTAGTATTCGTTCACATTACAAAAATGGCAATGAGTGTTCATTGATATCACAAAAACTTATCAATAGAACTCTGTCTCATTCTTGATTTCAAAATGTCGCGAAAAAAGTCAACAATTTTTGTTAAACAAAGCAGCCACACGATCTTGCACTTAATTTTTGTATTTTTTCCACAAAGTTGTGCAATTTTCCCAACTTGTCAGCAGTTTGATCTCACTTGGGGGGGGGGGGCGTGCAACCACTGACAGACTTTCCTCCTTGGCTAGTTCCTTTATCTCCTCCACATTTTGATGCTCCTGTCATGAAGCAGCTGAAGTTACTCTGTTGCCAGCTCCTCTTTGTGCTCGTCGGGAAAGAGAGGCAATCGATAGCATTAGGTGACGTTATCTGTGATAAGTACTTCAAAGAATTTTCTCCAATAAAATGAATAAATGTTCTGGATGTCAGGCGTTCACAGATGTGCTTCTCCTTGCCTTTGAGTGTGTTGTTTCTTAGAAATAGATGACATCAGCTGGCAATGCTTCCCTTTACCTCAGTCACCAACTGCTTCTGTGTATTTAACGGTTGCTCATACTCCAAATTTTTACTCGTCCTATGATACAAAAATGCTTACAAATCACTGCTTTAAAGCAAGTTACTCGTACAATGCTGCACTCATACTACAAGGTTCTACTGTACTTTCAATGTATATGGGCCTTTATTTAGATTACAAGTACTGTTATTTTAAAGCATAAGTATCTTTATACAAATAAATACTGTTATTTTAAATGAAAGTACCTTTATTTAAAGTATATTAGCCTTCATTCAGATTACAACTTTTATTCATAATATAAGTAACATCATTCAAAATATTATGTGGACCTTCATTCAGATGATAAGTACTCTTATTCAAAATATAGGTACCTTTATTCAAGACCTAAATATCTTTATTTAAAGTATATGGACCTTTAAGATTTCAAGTAATGTTATTTTAAAACATATGTACCTTCATTGAAATGATAAGTACTGTTATTTTAAAATATAAATACCTTTATTGAAAGTATTTTGGCTTTCATACAGATTGCAAGAACTTTTATTCAAAACATAAATACATTCTTTCAAATGTGGGCCTTCTTTCAAATGATAAGTACTGTTATTCAAGACATAAGTACCTTGATTCAGAATGGACAAACTATTATATATATGTGTATGTGCATATATTTATTCAAAACATAAATCAATATGATTATATATTTTACAGCGAAAAACCAAAGAAAGTACATATGCTCTGTTAAAATAAAAATGTCAAGCTCTCTGAGGCTCAGTTTTAATAATCCTTATTACTAGGATCCACCCGGATTATATACCAATGGATTGATTACCTTTACTAATATATATTATATATATAATATATATAAATATATATATTATATTATATATATATATATATATATATATATTATATATATATATATGCACACACAGAGAGCATATATAGTATATAGTGTAATGGTTTTCTGTACAGAAAATTATCAACCCAAGTAAAGGTCAAATTCTGGTTAAAACAGTTTCAAATAGTCCCCACCTTCTGAAAAGACATTAATCCATTTCCCTTCAGGTATGGGTTAAATAGCAGAGCAGACTAGGTTCTCTTGCCTTGGTTGGCAACCTGTCTAAGGGAAGGAAAAAATCTGAATTCAAACCTGAAGTAGGTTGTTTGGAGATTTTGTGGCACACTGTGTACCATTTCTTTATTATCATTTCTTCCAAAAAGTGTGGCTGGTTTGTGTAGTGATATCAGTCAGCTGATATCTTATTAAATGGAAAAGAGCTGACCAGTCACAAAACTGGATTGGACATTTATTCACCCAGCCTATCCCTGATGGTTAACAGTAGGTGAAGTGGACTTCACAAATATGGAGCAAGCCAAGCGCCTGGAACACAGAGAGTCACTAAATTAAGATAAATTACATTTTAGACAAAGATGACAAGACAAAGAACAATGTTATCTATAAAACAGTGACCACTACCAGCAAAAAGTCAGAGAGATAAAGCAGGACATGGAGAATGATGTGCAAAGGAAGACACCCTTTAGATTGTTCATCTCCCTCCTCACCTACGCTTCATCTCAGATTTGCTTGTCTATACCAGTTGGTTCCAACCACAGAATAAAATTTTGCTTACTGATACAGTCGGTTCATAGTTTTTTTTTCGTGGGTAACGACCTGGACGAAGGGTTATTTTTAAGCCACAAGTGTTTGACTGGAAGAAGCTGCACTCTGAGAACAAACATGGTGTCTGGTCTGAGCTGCAATGCTATAAAATGTAAACGGCTTAGGTGTGTCTTACATACTTTTATTTTTATAAGCGTTATTTAGCAAAACATAAAAAAAACAAAGTGACTTTTCAAGAGGCTTTGCTTTTCTGACTATAAGATACAGATTTCCTTTTTGGGATTTATCAATAAGTTTTGATCAAGGATCATCTGTGAATTTTCCAAGATTTTTCTGAGAGGGTCACATTGGTTGATTTGAGATGGAATGACCTATATGTAAAATTCCTCCACATGTTTAATTTTTTTTTTTTTTTTTTTTTAAATTCTCAATCTCTTCTTTACAATTCTTAAACAATTGCATTTGTTACAAAGTACTACAAATTACAAACTTTTGATCTTGAGGGTGGGGAATAGATTGTTCTTGTTCTGCTGTCAATTTCTAGGATTTTACATGGTGTTCCTATTGTTTAGTTCTGGCCCAGGGAATGAACTCACAATTACTATGTCACCAAATTCAAAACCCAACATTTTAATACACCGATTTATAATTCCTAATAAAGAACTAGACAAAATATCCCTAGACATGGTCTATATATGTAGATTAAATAAAGGGTTCAATACGAAATTCCCTTTCTACTTTGACATGTATCATCTGAAAAAGAATTTTATTCTTTTCTTGATGTCAGTTAACTTACTTCATAAACATAGCAAACGTTAGACAACCACACACACACACACACACACACATTTCCTCTTAAGTAAGCATCTCTTGTTCTTCTTAAATGACCTCCTTAAGTGAATATAAAATTACCAGAAATAGGACAGTTGAAATTCTAGGGAGAATCTGATGACTTTCTGAGTCAGCCCACATATATCACTTTTGTGTGTCTTGTCACTTTTATTAATCATATTTAACCCAAGCAGAAGTTGATACTGGTGACAATTGTGTTGGAAAAGGTAGTCCTTCCAAACAAAGGCCAAACCTCAGATAAAAACTGGAGTCTAGGAAAAAAAAAAAAAAAAAAAAAAAAGAAAATGATGGAACGTTGGAAAAAAGGTTTCCATCTTGAATTACTATTTACCTGAGCTGACATTGGCAAAAATCATTGACCTGGAAAAAAACAAAAAAACCTGGTCTGGTAAAAATATTAGAAAAAAACAGTTACCCCTCTGTCTGAGTGTGTGTACACAGGTATATGTCAGTATGTGAGCATAGGTGAAAAACTTCTTGGTTCAACATACTTTTTTGGAAGTTTTCTTGATCAGGCAAAGCAACCTAGTATATATATATATATATATATATATTTCATGTGTTCCACCAACTGAGACTTTTGCAGCTATGCCACATACACTGGGATGAATCATTGCAATTCCTTTTGTATTCCATTAATAAGAAGAAAGTTTCAACTAGACAGCTACTTCCTGAGAGCCACTGCTTTGTAGAACAGACTCCCAAGAGGATGCTTCCCTGATGACTACACTCTTAATCTCTTCAAGTTAACCATTACCTTTTCTACATGTCCTTATGATATGCTCTTTTCACCTTCTCCTGTTACATTCATACAACTTCATTTAATAATCCTCTACCTTGAATGGTGCTTGGGCCTTGTATTGGGTAAACAATTAGTTATGTTATATTCTGTGCTGAGGGAATAAATACTTAACACCAGGTGGACAATAGAAGAAAGGTTTATTGTACACAACCAGTACAGTATGAAATACGGTACAGTTATACACACAGGTCAATCTAGTAGTGAGTGCCACTAATTGGAAGGTTGAACATGCTTGCATCGTCTCACTCTCACTCTTCCTCCAGTCTCTCGTAGACAGTTGACTTTATAGGTATTTACTATCTATAGTGTAATCATTCAAGGGGGTGACTGGTTATTCCATTACATCATTATATATTTCTAAAGAATTAATGGATTTATTTCTAATCCAGTATTTTTATTACTTCAAATGTTATACTGGATACTCATATTTGAAATAGAAGCCTCATGTTTGTTTTTTTTTTTTTTTTTTTTTAAATAGGGTGTATAGTCTATCAGCCTGCCTTGCATATCTGGGAAATAGATTGAATATGCTCCACCCCCAATTTGTAGAAGAAACCACTGTTTGATTATATATACTTTAACCATTGGCTATGGAGAACTGTGACATTAGGGCAGGTCAATTTTGGTACCATGCTATTGTACTCAATTTGTTGAGGCTAGACATGATAAATAATGACACAAAAAATATTTTCAAACTCATTAACATGTTTGAGGAAATCAGTTTGAAGATTAAGTTTAGGTTAAGAATCAGTGAAAGCCTTATAAAATTTATAATTTTCTGAAGCTATTTACATTATTTGGACTATCGTCCTCATCTTTGTTGCCATATTTATCACAATGTTTTGGCTGATGTACGCTCTGGCGTTCCTCAGGTGGTTGGAAATGTCGAACTGAACTGAAATGTGTCCTCAAGGACACATGGCACAGTGGATTGAGGTGTTGGTTAGATCCAGTGACCCAAAGAGTTGTGAGTTCAACATCTGGTTAAGGCAGTGGAGAACTTGGAGAGGTGAATTAACAGGAGATAACTGATAACTGACATCCAGTAGACATGGCATGTGGAACTAGAACAGTCTACCCTAGTGAGCGAAATAAAGGGTTCAGTTCGACATTCCAACCACCTGAAGAAGGCCGGAGTGTACATCGGTCGAAACATTGTGATAAATATGGCAACAAAGATGAGGATGATAGTCCGAATAATGTAAATAGTGTACATAATACCTCATCTCAGAAATATAGACAGGTTTTCTGAAGCTTTACAAATTTTATATAGACAAGATGTATGGCACAAGCATATTATTACTAAATCATTGCACCATCAAAGAAAACCTTCATTTGCTTCAAAGGGAAATTATACTGAACAATTTAGTTATATGATGTAATGAGGTAGGCATAGTGGAGTAATGGATAGCAGATTGGATTGAGGAATCGGAGATCTGAGTTCAAATTCCAGTCGAATCCATTACATTCATTTACATGCTAATACCCTTGGAAAAGGTATGAATCCTCCTTTCCCTCCAGCTATGGGTAAATAGCAGGACAGACCAGGTTCTATGGCCTTGGATGGCAACCTGTCTACTGCAGAAAGAAATGGCAACCTACTGCAGGAAAAAAATCTGCCTTGTCAGTCATGTATTGAAAGATACATGATTGCCTAAGCATGTATCATTCATGGCACATAACTGACTGACTGATATACTAATGATTGTACTATAGGAATGCATTGAAAATGAGGAAGAGTGGTCAGGAATGAAGGCAAGCATTACTGAGAGAATAGAGTATGTATAATGTAAATACCCTTGGGAAAGGTATAAATCCTCTTCTTCTCCCTCCAGCTATGAGTAAAGAGCAGGACAGACAGGGTTCTATAGCCTTGAATGGCAACGGGCCTACCACAGAAAGAAATGGCAACGGGCCTACCACAGAAAGAAATGACAACCTACTACAGGAAAAAAATCTGCCTTGTCAGTCATGTATTGAAAGATACATGATTGCCTAAGCATGTATCACTCATGGCACATAACCGAAATAATGATGTAATATATTATACATATATTATACAATGCAGTAGTTTTAGTGCCATTTTCAATAAACAATGCAAATTTAAAACACTTTGTTTTACAATGTGTCCAGCAATAATATGGTGTTATATACACTTTTATTTTTTGTTATTCATTGAATAGCCTTTTTTTTTTTTACTACACAATTTTTATTTATTGAATACAGTAAAAAAAAAAAAAAAAATAAATAAATAAATAAAATAATATAGCATATTTTGCTTGTGATTCATAATTAGAATTCTGGTTTTAATATATTTGTCCACTCAATGCATCTAATATATATAACGTCATCGAGATTTATTATCAATATAGTAAAAAAAAGTCAGTTTGTGAGCAGGACCCTGCAGAAAATATCTATTTCTGTACATTTTTTCAGATGATATCTAAAACTAAATGCCTAAAAAGTGGTAAAAGCTATTAATCTAATTTTTAATGGCAATGCTTATCACATGAAACCCTGGCTTTCACACTGAGTCAATGTTGATTTTCTAAAAAAAAAAAAAAGGGAAAATCAACCTGTCCTACTATGACATTCTCTGTAGTTGAGCAGTAAAGCACTATAATGTTTGAATTATATACACATATATACACACACACGTGTACACATATATACGCACACATGTATACACATATATATATGCACACACACACACGTATACACATATATGCACACACACACGTATACACATATATGCACACACACACATATACACACACGTATACACATATACACACACGTATACACATATACATATTATGCCTTATAATTCCTTGGGGAACATAGGGCTGCAACAACCCCTCTCCAATTGATGCAGTTCCAGGTGAACCTCTTCATCTTGCCCCATGTTGTGTCGGCTTCCTTCACCTCTGCATCAACACTTCTGCACCAAGTCTGTTTTGGTCGACCCACCTTTCACTTCCCTTGTGGATTCCAGTCACTGGTGACACTAGAAGCAGGTTTGCGGAGTGTGTGGCTGATCCATCCCCATTTCTTGATCTCAACATCATATATATATATATATATTATTAATCATTTCATCCAAGTAAGGCAATAAAGATGAAGGTTTAAGGAGTTAATGAGAGTGAGAGAATATGAGAAAAAAATGTTTTTCAGTAAATCATGTCAAGATGACCACCTTTGTATACCACAGGCTTCAAGCCATTCAAATCTGTTTCTGAGCTAGAGTCCACTTAAAATCCATGCCCATTTACAAGTCACAATTAATGATGGCAGTTCTCTATAAAGATGCTGCAACTGTATATATTGCATATGATTGCTTTCGTCTGTATGCACAAATATTACTTTGACCATAGAAGTGACAATACATAAATTGGACTTATCATTTTTTATTAGTATTATGCTCTCAATATAAAATTCTATCAGTAATGCTTGCATTCATTCCTGACCACTGACAATCCCTTTCTTCTTCATTTTCAATGCATTCTTATAGTAAAATAGTAAAATCATTAGCAATATATTTACACACACACACACACATATATATATATAATAGCCCTAATCTATAAGCAATGCTTGTATTAATTCCTGACCTCTGACAATCCCTATTTTCAATGCATTCCTATAGTAAAATTATTAGCAATGCATTTACATGCAATAATAGCCCTATTCTATCAGTAATGCTTGTATTCATTCTTGACCACTGACAATCCCTTTCTTCTTCATTTTCAATGCATTCCTATAGTAAAATCAGTAGCAGTGCATTTACATTATGCATAAAATAGCCCTATTCTATCAGTAATGCTTCCTGAAAACTGACCACTCCTCCTATTTTTTCAATGCATGGTTGAAATTACCAAAGACATAAGTTGTTAAATCAAAGAAAAAGGAAAAAAAAATCATTAGATGCTTAAAATTAATTCACATTTGAAATTGGTTCAAGTTAATGGAACACACTTTATATGACTATTTTCAGTTATGTCTTTTGACATATACTTGATCTGACACAAGGTCACAATGATTGAGCACCAATAAACACGGAACTACATTTATTTGATTTGAAATCATAACTTATTTAATGTTTTAATACTTTTATATTTTAATTTAAAATTTTTTTTTAAATATTTGTTTCAGGTCAACTTAAACTGTCCATTTATATGAACTGTGGAATGCTGACAATTAATGGTAAGTATTTATCACTTATCAGCAAAATGCTTTATCTCTCTCTTAATGAACTCCCAATATATATGTACACTCACCGGTCAATTTATTAGTTATACTTAGCTAGTACTAGATTAGACCCCCTTTAGAACTGCTTCAATTCTTTAAATTGATAATGTTCTGAAAAAACTCTTCTGAAATTTAGATACAAGTTATTATGCCATCTTGTAATTCTTCTTGATTGGTTGGCTGAACCAAAGGTGCTTCTGGGACTGAGATCCAATGACTGTAGAGACCACTTTAATTGATAGATTGTTTTTTACAGCTTATCAACTCTTTGCAGGTTATTTAAAGCCAGCAAATATTTTTAGATTGTAAGAATTTTTTTGACATAATTTACTGATACAACTTCTAATTAAAGGGGAGGAAAGAGGTAAATTCATATTTTCCCCCAGGGGTATTTGTGAATAAAACAAACCTGATTGGAATTATAACTTGGCACTCAGATTTCAAATTCAGAATTGTTACCATTACATCACCTGCATATCCAAACTTACAGTACCTGGTATTCCCAAGTGATGACCCATATAGGTTTGACATTGCTTAACTTCAGTGATCTTGTGAGAACTGGGAGACAACCTTAAGATCAAAATCTCATTGCTGTGGTCCATGAATCAATCTACCAGCTTATTTGATTTGTTACATGGTGTGTTGTCCTGCTGGAAGTGACAAAAAGTGTATGGGTGATGCCAAGGAAGGGTGGATTCATATTTTCACACTTGTGCGACAAATATTGACCCATCATCTAAATGTTGCAATAAAAATTGAAACTTATTAGACATGGCAAAGTTTTTGCAGTCTTCCAATTTTTGTGATCCTTAGCAAATTATAGTCTTAGCTTCTTGTTCTTATCCAATAGGAATGGCACTTGATATGGTATCCTGCTGCTGTAGCCTATCTGCTTCAAGGTTTGATATTCAGTGATATCCTTCTGTACACCGCTGTTGTAAAGAGTGGTTGTTTAAACTACTGTTGTCTATCAGCTTAAACCCATTTTGCCATTCTCCTCTTATCATTTATCAACAAAGGATTTTGCCTACAGAATTGTCACTCACTGGAATTTTTTTTTTTTTTTTTGACTATTCTCTGTAAACTCTATAGACAGTTGTGCATGAAATCCTAGTAGATCAGCAGTTTTTGAAATAGACATTCCTGTCTGGCAACAAAGGCCATGCTGGATTCAGAGTCCCTTAAATCACCATTCTTTTACATAAATTCAGCAGGTCGCCACAATGATGACCTTTTTTTAGTCATTTTACTCCAAGCAAGGCAATAATGCCACTAAGATGCAAAGCGTTATTGAGAGTGAAAAAGAATGAGAAGACAGTAGTGAAAAGAAAGGGTAATAAAAGAACAGTGTTAAGGAAGACAGAAGATGGTGGTTGATGTTGAATTTAAATTTTTGAAGATTGTAGATGACAAGAAATCAAGAAATCAGAAAGTTCCACAGGTTAGAAGCATGAGAAAAGAAAGTATTAGAATATAACTTATGGTTAGATCTAGCTATTTTAACAGTAAAACGTTGAGACCTAACTGCCAATCTAGTAGTATGCTTAAATTCATGTGGTTGAGGTACCAAGGAAGTCATTAGAACAACTGCCATGAAAATATTTATAGAAAAGACAGAGGGAAGCGACTGAAGATGAGACACCAGGTTAGGACTGATGACATGTACTTGTCAATCCATGTAACCTTCAGGGACATTTAAATTGAACCATTTATTTAGTCTATGAGGGTTGATTGTTCTCATTGCACTGATTTATGGGGCTTTAATAGTACTGCCCAGTTATTATTTGCCTCACAGTCTAAGGTACTACCTGATATAGAGATTGAACTCACTATGCCAAATTTGTGCTTTAATCCACTAGCTTTAAGCAGAACTAAGATGAGATATCTCTAGATATGGATAAATTTCCTAAAGGTTAACTGGATTGACAAGACACCTGGGGAGGAACTGTAACAGAATCGGGTCAGCCTGATAAAAAGCTCCAAGTTTGTTGTATGTGGTGTTGTAACCACTAAGAGTTGCATCCCCTCCCACAATGGGCTGTTAAGAGAAGACCTTCTTCTTAGAGCAGGTGGTGCTGACTACTTGCATATGAAAGATACTGGGCAGGTATTAACCAATAGTCAGTATGAGTCTGGGAGAGCTATATAACACCAGTTTTGTTTCTCAGTGTGGGTCTGGGAGAGCTATATAACACCAGTTTTGTTTCTCAGTGTGGGTCTGAGAGAGCTATATAACACCAGTTTTGTTTCTCAGTCTAGATGAGCGCTCTCATTGCGCAGACATGTGATAACCAGACAAAACAAACACAGGATCAGCTGATACAATGTAATAAGAACATCAAAGATGTGGCTATTAATCCAAATGTTAATATAAATAAAGATAACTCCATAATCCAGAAATTAAGGCAGGAAAGTTTATGTTAAGCAACTCATGCATATCTGAAGTTTGCGGTATATAGCTCTTATATATTATGCAAGTTTGACAACCCCTTCTTCATCTCCATTAAACCATTGTTTCACTTTATATTCTTGTAAAATCCATTTTTTATCACCAGTTTATCTGTTTAAAAATGTTTAAATGTGCAGATGTCTGCTCATTTTGTGGCTGGTTTCTCTCAAATTACATTATTGTAATTTGTTGCAGATGATGGTGAATAGTTGAATTGTTTCAATATTTCATTATTTTAGTCATCATATTTGCCAAACTGACCAGATCACAATGTCAAGAGTTGAACTTTAGTTTGAAAAGCAAGAAGTCATTTTACATTATCCAATTTAAAAATCATGGTCTTTTTTCATTATTCAAAGTAGTAACTTGAGATTGTTAGTTTTGCTGGTTTGATTATATATTACACACACACACACTACAGTTCAAAAGTTTGAAGCCACCCCCAGAATTAGCATGGGATGACCTTGACAGAAGAGTGAAAGAAAAAAAAAGAGTTCTTAGAGACATTGAAAAAAAAAGAATGGAATCAATTATCAAACTTAAAGTTTGAGAAACTTTTGCAACAAATGTCAAAAAATTGTGCTGCAGTAATCAAGGCTAAAGGAGGATATTTTGATGAGAGCAAAATTTAACCATAAAATGCTTTTTTCTTTTTGTTATAATAAAATTTCTAATAATAAAATCATGTCTCCCTTTTTTTTTAACCATGTATAATAATTTTCTTTTATTCAAAGTACAAAACAACTACTTTTTGAACCAATTTTAAAAATTACCTCAATCTTTTGAACTGTAGTGTATTTTCATTGAATATAGACATATGTCTATTTTTATACTGATCCTTTCCAATTCTCTAATCAGTTTCTTGATATTAAGATGAAATTCATCAATGAAGGTGCTATAGTTTTTTCCTACCCAAGTACTTTCAATCTCCTCTAAGATCATCCTCAGGGGTAAATTACATAGTACTTGAGTAGGAAAAAACTATGACACCTTCCTTGATGAATTTCATTGTAACATCAAGAAACTGATTATAGAACAGGAAAAGATCAATATAAAAATAGACATTATGTCTATATTATTTAATGAGACATGCTTGAATGAAGATATGATTTGTGTGTGTGTGTGTGTGTGTGTGTGTGTGTGTGTGTGTGTGTGTGTGTGAATATATAGAAAATAGGAAAGAACTTTTAGGTTAATAATCCAAAGTTCTTTAGTATTTTTGTTTTTATTTTTAAAAAAACAGTGAACAAAAATACTGAAGAACTTCGGATTATTAACCTAACGGTTCTTTCCTATTTTTCTATATATTTGCACACACACACACACACACATCGGCTCCCAAATAAAGGTCAAGCACGCTAAACCTTTATTTTTAAAATAGAATCTTAAAAATATGGAAAAAGTAAATTTCGGCATTTCTCTGAAAAACATGAGAACTCTTATGTAGTGATGGAATCATATTTTAAAAAAAAATAATTATAATATATATATATATATATATATATATATATATATATATATATATATATATATATATCTTTTGAGTGCTCTTAGATAGAATCTGATGATTATTCTGAATTTTATTTTGTTCTTGTGGTGAGAACAGAAATTTATGAGATCATTTTTATTAGTCGATTTGCAATGGACACTTTGTTTTAAGATATTGTCATTATGGTGTAACATGATATCTAGGTATGGTAAAGTATTTGTTTCTGTTTCCTTTGTGAATTCTATTGTATATTTAATTTTGTTTAGTTTATCTACAAGGTTAGGTAAAGTAGTTTTGTGGAGATATATGAATAAAACATCAATATTTTGGAAATATGTTGTTTTGTTAAAATATTTTTACAAATGAAACCTAGTTGATGCAATAGTTAAGAATCATAGACAAAATGATATAGAATTTAACAAAGGCTTAAAGGAACAAATATTGCCTCTCTAGGAATGAACAATTAAAGAACTTTATCAGAAACACTTAAATTCACTAAGAAACCTAGGAAAAATAAGGAAATCCATATTACTTCCTCAAACAAAGGAGTTAAGATTGTTATTACACAAGTGTATCAAACTTGCATGTCCTTAGCGTCTACTTATATTAAAATCTTGGTCAGCCTATGAGCTTTTCAGCTGACACTCGTGTTAATTTAGCCATCCTGGTTGAAAAACCAAATAGATACAACTGATAAACTTGTGGCTAGTTTAGATGTTAAATCCCTTTATATCAATGTTCCTGTTAAATTGTTTTTAAAAAAGTATCTAGCACAATCAAAAATAAATCTCTCCTTACCAATAGCTAAAATAATAATAAAAAAACTACCATCTCATCATCAATCAATGCTATTTCACCATTAACAATTTTTATTAACAAAAATTTAAAATACTATTTGTTTTGCCTCTAAGTGAAGTTTAGGCACACATTTTCTCATAATTTCTTGAATTTGATCCTTTCCAAAATTTTTTACCAAAACAATCAACATATTTCCGATATATTGATATATTCATAGGTCGTCACAAAACTACTTTACTTGCCCTTGTACATAAACTAAACAAAATCAAACATGTGACAATTCATTTATGAAATGGAAAAAAAATACTTTTGTAGATACCATCTTATACCATAATGACAATAGTCTAAAACAGAGTATCCATCACAAATCAACTGATAAAAATGATCGCATAAATTTCTATTCACAGTATATATATATATATATATATATATACAAAATGTGATAATAATTTGATACTTGAATATAATTTATCTTCTCAGTGCTGCGTGCCCGAAATCTCAGATCGAAATGGAAGTCTCAGTGTGATTCTTTTGTCAAGGTAAGTTAAAATAAAACAAGATAAATGCTTATCAAAAATAATAAAAGTGTCATATTGTGTAGAGTTTAAATGTAATCCAAGCTAAAATACAATTATTACTGTTTTACTTCGACATTAGAGATAGAATTGACAGGTAGAATGAAAGTTTGGATGAATTGGTTTCATAAATCTGAGCCATAATGTTCCAGGTTCCATAAAGAGCAAATGTTCAAATCATTTCTAATGCATTCCTATAGTAAAATCATTTGCAATAGATGCTTTTAATGTTTGCTATTATTAATGAAATCATTAGAGGGAATGAAAGTTTGGATGGATTTGTTTAATAAATCCTAGCCATAATATTCCAGGTTCCATAAAGAGCTAGTATTCAAATAATTTAAAATGAATTCCTATAATAAAATAAAATCATTTTCAATGAATTATATACATGCATACACAGACACATGCATGCACTCTAACACACACACACTTTTTGGTACAGGTACACACGCACACACACTCTCTCTTTATCTCTCAGCTGCATACACAAACACTTAGTCAGATACGTATGCAGTCTATCAAGTACATTCATGTTCCCTCACCAGCATGTACACATGCACACATATTCTCTAAATCATATGCACACAAAATGTCATATGCATATGTATGCTTTGCATTATTGAATAACAGCTGCTAAAATCATCTCTGCCTGAAAAAAAAGAAAAAAATCTTCCTAAACTGCCATTTTTTTTCTTTATTTCATATAAAAAAAATTGTCTTTGTTCCTCAATGACCGTTTCTCTGAAAATGTTACAAAAAAAAAAAAAGAAAAAAAAAAAAGAAAAAAGTGCTAAACATTTTACACTTCTTTACCTCTTAGAGCCTCCCCACCCCATTGATCCTACCCACATCTTGCTACCCAAATGCTAGCAGACATAATGTGCAATAACAGCATTGAGGGTAGCTGAAAAAAAAAAAAAAAAAAAAAAGGTTCTTTGTTTGGCTGGTTGTGGTTGTTTTGGTTTGCAAAGCCCTTCTTCAAGTTTGTTTGGATTGGGGGGTGGGGTGGGGTGGTATTGAGGCAAGAAAAGATGTTTGGTTAGGCTGAGAGCAATCGTCTTACTACATGGTGAGAACCCACAATCATCTCTCGACCTCCCCCCAAAACCCAAACACTAACCGAAGGAGAAAAATTCCAAAGATGATTTTAAATATAATTAAAAAAAAAAAAAAAAAAAAAAATAAATAAATAAAAATGGAAGGCATTTCTTTGAAAAGAAGATCTGATTGGACAGCAAATATAGGGTGGTTGGGATGGTGAAGTGTATATGTGGTGGGTGGTATGTAATGGGTTAAATGACAAAAAAAAAAAAAAAAAAAAAATTTTTTCAGGTTTTTTTTTTGGTGGAAGAATGTTTTTTGTAATTTTTTTTGTCAGTTATAGACACACACACTCACACACATTATATATATATATATATATATATATATATATAAACACAAACATACACAAGATCCTCATCAATCTGCATAAATACACACACTGAAACTAGTGTACTTAAATACACATGACAGTCTCTTTGTTGTTAAACACAAATTTAAACTTCTGAATAGTTTAGATATTTGCTAATCTGATCTTTGTCCAGCCCAAGGCCAATTTTTGGGGTGGGGTGGGGGAGTGGAATGAAAATGAGGTATAGATCATTTTGAACAAATGGGCAGAGCTTAAATTTAAATGCCTTGGAAAAGCAGCATAAAAATATCCTAACTGAAAATGTTTATTTTGTAGTGGATGGTTAAAAGCCAGAGTGGAGATGAGATGTGTTTATTTTGTTACCATAGTTTTGGTTATGCTGCACCAATATTCCAACAGAAAAAGCCTTATCTGTCTATATCTCTGAGATGAAGTATTATGATTACTTACAGTATTTACATTATTTGGACTGTTATCCTCATCGCCATATTCTCAAGTACACATGGCCCAGTAGATAAAAGGCGTTGGTTAGATCCAGTGACTAGACCCAAAGAGTTGTGAGTTCAATATCAGGCTACAGCAGTGGTGAACCAAAATTCGGAGAGTTGAGTTAAAGGGGAATAACCGAGACATCAGGAAGAGGCATGGCATGTGGAACTAGAACAATATAGCCAGGTAGACAAAATAAAGGGTTCGGTCTGAAATTCCAATCACCTGAAGTGTACAATGACAAACATTGTGAATATGGCAATGAAGATGAGGATAACAGTGTAAATAATATAAGTAGAGAAGGCTTTGAGAGAAGATGATATACAAAGGAAGGAAGGAAGGAAGGAAAGATGGAAAGATGGATAGATAGATAGATAGATAGATAGATACACCATCCTGTGTATGACAATAAACTACATCCACATCCTGGGTAAGATGATAAACTATGTCCAACCTCTGATCAGGAGGTTTTGTGGAGCATGGAACCACCTTTTAATTGCTGGTGTTCCCAGGTCTACCCTGACCAAGGGTGGTAGAACCTGTTAGGGTCCCAGCTATGTGCAAGTAGTCAACAAATAGTAGATTTATAAATGTGCATTATGGATTTTGAAGAAAAAAATTTTCTGGCATGAGACACTGAACCAATTTTCCTAACAGTAGATATAGCAATTGATTCAATATAATCACTCCACTTCATGTCAGTGCAAAATGTGAGGCCAAGAAGGATCAAGTGCTGCTCTCCTGGAGTTTAGCATCATCCACATTGATAGCAGTCAGAAAAAGTTATGTGATTTTTAAATCAAAGCAGTTTTGTTTCGAAGGTATTAAAATTTACAAGCCATTTCTTGCCCCAGTTTACCAACAATTGGAGGTCTTTTGCCAAAGCAGTTTACTTTGTCAAATCTGTCAGCCTTTCTACTAAGACGAGTAAATAGTTGTGTGATCTGCATAAATACCAAGTTGGGTTGTGTTATAAAATAAAATAAGACATATCTCGGCTGACTTGCAGGCAAATAAACTAACATACTCAAGAGCGAGAGCCAGATGTGTACGGGACAAGGCCCCGCCACAAAATGACCATTATCGTCGTTTACGCATAGGCCCGACGCACAAGTTCCAGTCGAAAAATATTTTAAAGTGTTTCTATTTTTCAACCAATAAAAATGCTTCCCTCCTAATTATACTCGCGTCGTTTTTCGAGCCTGTTAAGCCATAAAAACGCCATAAAAGGGGTCACACGGGGAAGTACAACAGCTGGAGGCCAGGGAAGAGACCTGTCACGGTCAGCAGGAGGAGCGCCATGCCAACCAGTGAGAACTACTATGAGAGATCAACCCAGATTGGAAGCCGGCTTATGAACTATACCACAAGGTAGCTGTCCCAAAACCACATGTTCCTATTGAAATAAATCACGTAAATCTATTCCTGCTGTTGTCATATTTCTTTCTTGCAACCATACGCTTGTCTATAACAGTTGGAATAATTAGTAAGTAATTGAACAACAAGATGGATCCTTTGAAAGGACATCTTCAGACATGTTTTTATTCATGGTATCATATCTGTGGGTAGGAAATGGTATCATGGTATCATATCTAGGGGTAGGAAATGAAATAAATGTCAATAAGAATTTTACATTGAGAAAATGCTGAAAGTATGGTGACACTTTTTAAAAGAAAAATAATGTCACCCACCCCAAGCAAGGCAATAAAATGCAAAGGGCTGCTTAAAGTAAAAGAAACAGAGGACTATAACAAAACAGGATTTAAGATGACAGAAGATGATGACTGATTTCATAATTGATATGAAAGCGAGAACAGAGTTCCGCAGTTGAAAAGTCTGAGAGAAGAAACTATTAGCATAGAACTTATACTTGCAACAAGAAACATTAACATTGAAATGATGAGACCAAACAGCCAATCTAGTACTGTGCTTAAATTTGTGAAGTTGAGGCACCAAAGAGGAGAGCTCATTAGAACAATAGCCATGAAAATATTTATAGATAAGGTTAAGCTGTTATGGTGGTGGGAGAGTGATTGATGCCAGTTGTATTTAGTCAAGAATCTCTAGAGATATATCAGAAGCAGGAGACCAGAAATGGCCGCAATATTTGATGCATGGCCAAATAGTAGACTTATAAATGTACAAAATAAATTCTGTTGAAAAAAAAATTGTCTAACACAACATAGTGAACTGACTTTTCTAGTAGTAGACTTAGCAATTGATTCCATGTAATCGTTGTGTTTCATGTCAGTAGAAAATGTGAATCCAAGAAGCACAACAAGTTGCTCTCTTGAAGGTAATCATCAGCTATTCTAATGGAAGGTACAAATGGTTTTTTAATTAGGAGGTTCTATCTAACTAATTGAGTGAAGTTAAATTCAATAAAGATATAATGGAAAAGCCACTATTTAGATGTGCAAATCATGATTTTTTTTCCTTTTGTAATTACTATTCTATCAGTAATGCGTGCATTCATTCCTGACCGCAGACAATCCCTTTCTTCCTCATTTTCAATGCATTCCTATAGTAAAATCATTAGCAATATATTTACATTATACATATAATAGCCTTATTCTATCAGTAATGCTTACATTCATTCCTGACCACTGACAATCCCTTTCTTCCTGTTTTTCAATGCATTCCTATATTTAAATCATTAACAATGCATTTACATTATACATATAATAGGCCTATTCTATCAGTAATGCTTGCATTCATTCCTGACCACTGACAATCCATTTCTTCCTCATTTTCAATGCATTCCTATAGTAAAATCATATTATCCCTATTCTATCAGTAATATTTGAATTTACTTCTAACAATCCCTTTCTTCCTGTATTTTAATCTTTAACATTTTGATTGATAAATATGTTAAATCTTTTCTATAGATTTCACTGGTCCCTGATGAACAAATGCGTACGAAATGCAAGACAAAAGTAATTTTGGATTCAAACAATCCAGCCTACGATGATAAGTTTTCCTTGTAAGTGCTGAATTTATTAAACCTCTTGGATATGCCTTTATAAAATAACAAAAACATTTTTTCACTAACATTGTTGATATTCTTCCAGTGTCCTTTCAGGTTTCCAGAATAACTTTTCCACTATCGTTCCAGAAACATTTCTAAAAAGACAACTTCAATTATCCCCATAAGATTTTAAGCTGTCCCAGCATCAAAATGCTGCTTTTTTTTTAAAATTTGTTATTAGTAGTATAATGAAAATACCATTAAAATGTTTAAGAAATAAGTTAAAAAGTTGAAATATTAAAGTTTTACAAAAGAATATGCAAAAAGTAATTAGCTAAATTCTGTAATTTTTATAAAAATCTAATATTAATTTTTATATACAGATCGTAACAGCTGTTAGGAAGATGTGATTAAATATACTTTAATGTTTAAAAAAAATTATTCAGTATTATTGTTTAGGTAATAAGCTTTATAACATAGTACAAATAGCTGTATTGTAGAAAAAGGAATTTTTAACAATATATGCATTTTTTACGTATTTATGGTTATTTTTGAACTTTTATCAAAAATGATATTCTTGTATATGCAGTTATGGATAATATTATACATTAATTACTAATTTTTTAAAATTAATAACTATTTGTGCTCATCTGTTGTCATTAATAGCTAACTGCTGATGAAAAATTTTGGAATAATGCAATAATAAAAATTTAAATTTCATCTCTCTCATTGATGTCGCAATCTGTTAAACACAAGTTAAAAAGCTAAAATATTAAAGTTTTAAAATGAATATATGCAAAAAGAATGCTCACAAAAAATGGAGTGTCAAAAAGATGTTTTTTTCTTTGACATTGTTATTATTTTAATTCACTCCTCGGCAATGTTTGTCATTTTAAAAAGTGACGATTAGAATTGGAATAAAACCTAAACATATGTTGAAAGTGAACTTATACATTTCTGTTCTTGAGAATTTCCAACAAAAATATTAAACACTTTATTAGATTGTTTTTTTACAAGAAGAATTTTATATTTATAATATTCTAAAAACTAATACAATTAAAACTAATGCAATGAAATATTCATTTACCAATTTATAAAGAAATAAATATGAAAACAATTTTTTATTCATAAATTTATAAACATTTACTAACTTATTAAAATATGTGAACCAACTATAAGGAAATCCTTATTTACCATTTTATAAAGTTTGAATCGATTGGCAATTAGCCAATGTTTTGCCAACCATTCCAATAAACAATCTAATAAATAAATAGTGTTTGTTATTTTTGTTGTCAATTCTCAAGAATAAAGTAAATAAATTCACTTTCATAAGTTTGGGTTTTATTACAATTCTAATCATCACTTTTTAAAACAATAAACATTGCTGAGGAGTAAGGGTAGTTAAAATAATAATGGTATCAAGTGAAAAACTGTTTTTTTTGATACACCATTTTTTTGTGGGTACAAAGGTCCAAGAAAAGTTTTTATCAAAAAATTTTAATTTAAAAATGAATGTCTCATGTTGTGACTAAATTCTCTGAGTTTATCAATTTTTAAATTCTCATTCGTAAATTCAATTTAGTTTATAAGGAGAAAAATATGTCAGTGTTGTTCATGGTTCATTCAAATTTTGCAACTAAGAATTGACAGAAAAATATAATTTTCTTGCTTTGATTATTGAAGTAAAATTAGTTCTTACAATGAGATCTTGATGTTTTTATATTCTTTATAATATGGTAAATAATAAATATATTTGTAATAACAAAAGTACGCAGGTGAAGGCTTTAAGAAAGCTTTATTCAACTGAGAATATAGTTCGCGTATGGTGTCCTTTTATAGTCCCAGTAAACAGAAATAGCTTTCTCAAAGAGGAGAGTAACAAAACAAGAGGAGACCACTCTTGATTATTCATAACAATATTTATATGATAAATAATAAATACTGCATTGTAGTTGGTTCCCACATTTATATAATCTTGTAAATATAAAATTATTCTTCAAAATAAACAATCAAATGAATACAATGTTTAATTCTTTTGATTTCAATTCTTACAAAAGAAAATTATAAACACAGTTTCATATGTTTAGGTTTTATTAAAGCTGGAAATACCTATGAAAATTTCATGGTTTTCCTATTTTAATTTTCTGATGAATACTAATTCTTAAGTTAATGATTGAATAAGCTCATTGTAAGTCCTACAGTTATAAAACATACCCATGAAAATTCCCTTGTTGCATTGTTAAATATTTGAGTTAACAACTTTACCAAAATATTACAATAACTATTATATGTATGAAAGCAGGTAATTATTTGAAGAAGGAAGAGGATACAAATAAAAAGATTAAAAATTAACAAGGTTTATCATTTCACCGAAGCAGACATTAAACACATTTTTTTTTTTAAGCGTTTCACCCCAAGCAAGGCGGGAAGCCACTAGCACGCAAGGGGTTACAGAGAGTTGAAGCTAGAGCAGTGATAAAGGAAAGGATGAAGAAAAGAACAGGGGATAGATCAGGGTGTCGATTGACATTACATTTGAATAGTTGGAGATTATAGCTATCAGGGAAACAGGAAGAGAGGAGGGAGTTCCACAGGCGATAGGTGCGAGACATGAAGCTATTGGAGTAGAAGAGACGGCTACATTTAACATGTGAGCACTATTAATATTTTTTTTTTCTTTCCTTAACAGGTTTCAATATTACCAAACATCCTTTGATATATCTTTTGCTTTTTCTACGTTTGCAATCAAAATAGAATAGTGCATTATTTACTTGAGGCAATGGCTGGGTGTAACCCACCTACTAAATAACTTAATGACCAAAAGAGAAAAAAGCTTTGTGAGGTAAGAAATAGATCCAGTAGAGAAGCCTGTTGCTCGGTTTGGCTAGGGAAATGAGTAGGGAAGTCCATGATTTGAGTGATGGATTGGGCAATGAAAAAATACCGGCAAGATCAGTACCTTTAGAATGCTTCAACCACATGTTGTGGGGTGAGCATTAAAGTCACTGAAGACAAAGATGTTCGTGGATGAATGTTGAGAAAGTGCCTTTTCTATACTGTCAGCCATTGAATCTAATATACTGCAGTCTTGGGAAGAGCAGGAGCTATAAAAGAAAAAGAGATAGCTGACAGAGTTTACTAGCTAAAGATGGAAGCACATGAAAGAGTAGTCAGAATTGAGAGGCAATTCTCTGGCCATCGGCAGATTACCACAGATGTAAACACCAAGACCATAGATGGGGATTTTAGAACCAAGAATTCATTGTTAGCAATTGAAGAATTCTAGTTGGTTTCACAAAGGGCAAAGATATCTGGCAACCATTCCAGGTGGAACGATTCTACACTGCAGAAGTTGGAACTTTGTAGTGAGGGGGTTATATCATGTTTCATGATCTAACCCAACCTGTTGAGGACATTTCAATATTTTTCAGAGAGACAATGTCACTTTTATTATAACTATCTGGGAGTGGTTATGTGCCACTATGTGTGTGACCATCATGTTCATAATGATATCACCTGTGAGTTTCTTTGGCAAAACTTTGCATTACTCAAGTCTGTTGAAACTTGGCTCTTTGCAACTGCAGGGTTTTCAAAAAATTAAGCTTTTTATTGAAAGGTTTGGTTTGTTTTGTTTTATGGCATATCAACCTCAATGGGTTATTTAATGCTAACAAAATTTTTATTTCTGGTAATATCTTTTTTTTCAAAAAGTATAGAAGGTATATTTTTTTCCAGAAATGTATAGCTAGTAATATCTTTTGTTTTCAAAAATGTATTGCTGGTAATAATATATTGCTGGTAATAATTTTTTTTTTTTTTTTTTTACAAAGTATTTCTGGTATTAAAACCTATTTACATTTTCATAGTGTTTTAACCCCAGTTTGGTGGTTAACTATTTGCCCATAGCTGGGACGCTAACAGGTTCTACCACCCTGGTTCAGGGTGGACTTGGAAACACCAGGAATTAAGAGGTGGTTCCATGCTTCTCAAAACCACCTGATCAGAGGCCTTGCTATTGGACATAGTTTAGCGTCTTACCCAGGATGCGGACATAGTTTATCATCATACCCATGACGGGTTATTGAAAGGAAAGAAACTTCAGAGCAAAAGCAAGATTAAGAAGAATAAAACAAGGTTTGATACATCAGGTTCATGCTCATTTGATTAGAACACATATGTTGTCAAGTGAATTGTAAATGATTTTATCTGGACCTGGGTTTTCCGACTACACATTGCATCAACAGTAAAATCCAGATATGATTACGAAAAGAACTCCAAGCATAGTGAATTTTGACGATTCAAAAATTTCCTGATATAAAAAAAATTAACTTTTGCTTTAATAGTTTGTAACTTTTTTGTTTTGTATTTCAAATAGAATAATTTTTATAGTGAGTCAGTTGTTTGGTATTTTAAATGTGATATTATACAAAAAGAGTGAATTTATTATGTTATTTTTAATTTGCTTTAAATACTGAATTCTGGGATCTTTATAATGTATATATGATGCTATGCTTTTACAAGGGAGCAATAAGAAAAACAAGCACTCAGTTGTCTCTGAGGTAATAATCTTTACTTGTGACATCTGTGATTCTATGCTTTTACAAAGAACTGAAAAAAAAAATGTACTTAGTGACCTTTTTAATGTGTGATCTTTGCTTGTGACATCTATGATTCTATGCTTTTGCAAATAAGAACTGAGGAAATGAATTTAGTTGCTTCTGATTTACTGTGTTTCTTACAGGAAATTTAATAATTTTTTTTATGAATTGCTTTTAATCTGGTTTTTACAAATTAATTAATTTTTGTAGTGAGCTGCTTCAAGAAGACATTAATAAACGCCTTTTCATTTCTGTGTGGCATAAAGATCAGACTAACTGGTAAGTGAATACAAGAAATATACTCTGGTCTTTCTTTTCTTCTACACTTACAAGTAATCTTACTATAATGAAACGGTTGTTGCCAATAGTGCAAGAAGTATTTTTCTATCCAAACAAAAGCTATCAGTTTTAATTTTGTAACTAGTCGGACTTTTGTTTCACATCTGTGAATTTTACGTGTTTTGATTGAATCAATTTTGAATCAGAACTATGTTTTTTTTAATTTCTGGAAAAAATTTAAATGTAAAACTTAAATATACCACACGCTGTGAATTACATTGAATCTGTGATGTGTCATCTGCTGTAGGCTTTAGTCATTTTATAGATCTTCAGTTTTTCTCCATTACTTACTGAGCATTGTTTGCTTTGCATCTCCTTTGCATGCTAATTGTATTGTGTACAATGTCTTTACGTTGTTAAGTTGGAAATGGAAGAGTCTTATGAGACTTATATTCAACATTAGTAATCCAAAAAACTAATTTGACTAAAAAAGTTTGTACTTATTTAATAAAGAATGAAATAAACATTTTTTAAGACTCTTCCATTTCCAACTTAAATATACCACATGTACCACAGGGTACACAAGATGCAGGTGAACATATATGAGGGTGGTCTGAAAAGTTCATAGGCTGACTATGAAGGAGTGATGCTAGAGCTGTGAAACCTTGCATGCATTAATTTAAACTCTTTTTATTAATAACAGCATGGTTTCTTTCCTGGTAAACTGACACCTGACTGTTCAAGGAAGACTTAAAAAGCAACATGTAGCTACTTCTCTTGAAAATAGGACAAAATTTGGCACTGTGGTTTTATCAAACAGCTGCAGAAAAAGGATCCCCCATCCTGAACATTCATGCTGACTTGATTGCTACATTAAGGGATGACACCCCAGCTACATCAACAGTGTAAAATTGGGCAGCTAAATTAAGGGGGGGGGAGGGAGGGTCTTGAAGATGTCCCAAGGTCTGAGCCTCTTGTGACTGCCACCATCAAGGAAAATATTGATCATATTCACATGGTGATAGATTATAGGTGATTGACTATAAATCAAATAGACAATGCATATCAAATGAGAGAGTTGAGAATATTCTGCACAATGAACTTGACATAATGAAGGTTTCTGCAATGTGGTTTTCAGGTCTTCTGTTCAAAAGCATACCAGGCCGATTCCATCATGGGAAAATCTGACATTGTTTGAGGCAGGTTCAGCTAGTTTCCTTGAATGTTTCTTAATCCAGGATGAGTTTTGAGTTCATCATTTTGAGCCAAAGGCAAAGAGACAATCCATGCAGTGGAAACACCCCTCCTCACCTGTTCCAAAGGTGGCCAAGGTTTCGTCTAGAAGGTGCTGACTTCATTTTGGGTGGGGGGATGCAAAAGGCATTGGGTTTATTGACTATCTTCAGGGCCATACCATCAATGGAGAGTATTATGCAAACTTGCTGAGGCAATTATGAAAGACTAAACACCAAGGAAAACTGATGAAAAGGGTTTTGTTTCATCGGGACAATGCTCCAGCACACAACTTCTTGGTTTCACTGGCTTCTGTGCATAACTGTGGCTTTGAACAGATCACCCTCTCTATTATTCTGATTTGACTATCATCTGTTCCCCAACATGAAAAAACACTGGCTGGGAACCAGTATCGCAATGATGATGACATTATATCTGCTGTTGATGACTTTTTTGACAAACAGTCTTCTTTGAACAGTCAGATGAAAAAAAAATCAATGAAGTTATTAATAGGAGTTGAAATTAATGCATGCAAGATTTCACAGCTCTAGCATCATTCCTTCATAGACAGCCTATGAAATTGTCAGTCGTTCCTCATAAAGGTAAAAAAAAAAAAAAAAGCTAGATATAGGTTTGGTTCTGCACTAGTGTTCAGTTTATACTAATGTTAAAATGATAAACATTGGCCATAGCTCTCTTCTTATCAAAGTCTGCCCGTATCCATCTGGAAGGTGACCCTTTTACTGGTGGCTTTACCCCTCTCCAAAGGATGCTATTGATGCATTCTGATTCTGATTTTTGATAGATGCAAAGGATTACTTGCATTTTTTTTAAGGGTACTCAACTTTTCATAAATATGTTCAGTTCTACAGAGTGCAAACAATATTTTTGTCAATATATTTTTATTCAAATTTTTCTAAGCTAATGGCTCAAAGATTTTTTGAAGTAAAATGAATTTTTGGTTTTTTTATTTACTTCTGATCCCTAGTTTCTGTTGAAATATTTTATTTCTACTAACAACATAATTTCTGACCTCTCATAGGTTAATGAAATCAATACCTGAGTAAAAAGAACCAATCTTCTATAAAAGTGAATTCTTCCTTTCAAAATCTTTGAGGTATTACCAAAAAGAAAATTTGAAGAAAAAAAAATTATTGTAGAGTGAGTGGCCATAATTAAATGTAAATAAATGGCAAAACTGTCCAACAAACAGAACTGACAAAGTTTGTAATAAGCAATAACAAGAAAAAGAAAAGAACAGGTAAAAAAATAATATAAAGCAAGCAAACAATATATACAAGGCAAATTAACAGTAATAAGGCAAAGAAACGGTCATATGGCAAAAAGTTCACAAACTAAGAATTGGGGTTGATATATAAGAGCAAATTCAGATAAGTGAACATAGCATTCTGACTTCAAGACAAGACAGACTGGGACCGAGTCAGATGAAACTGAGAAACAGCATGTATTTGTGTATATTGGGAAGGGAAAAATGCTTTGCAATCATTCCAGCAGGAATTGAAACTAATAATTATTATATTACTATCCTAGAAGCCGCCTTTTAGGCAGACTTTAGGCTAGCTTCAGCCTTTTACCTTCAGCATCCTATGTACATAAAAGTTATAAGAATTTAGAAATAAAATTATTTTATTGTTATGTGACATCTTAATTCGGCATAATCTTTCTTCGTATATGCAACCGATCTCTAGTTCGTTTACATTTATTTTGTGTGCAATTTTCATTTTCTTTTAAAATCACCATTCATTATGATCTCTTCACATAAAGTCAATCTTAAAAGACATTAGGGAATCTGAACTGTGTAGTATTTTGAATAGGTCACAGGAAAAGAAAACATATGAGCAACATACCATGACCTGCTTAAGTTTTAATTATGGTTTAATTAGATAATATCAATTGCAATTGTGATGAAAAGCTAAATTAAAGTTAAATCTTTAATAAAGAATTGTTTTTTAAACCTTCCACTCTGTTCAATATTTAACTTTAAATAAGTTATTTAAATTTCAATCATGTGTAACTACAGTAGTCACTACCCGTTATTTCAGGTTGTTTATAATTGACCAAGTACAAAAAAATGAATGGATGGACACATGTACACTGCACTTTATAGATATAGATATGGAGGGATGAGTACATTGCATAGCAGTTAATGATATGGTTACCTGTCATCAAAACAGGAAAAAGCTTCCTATCAAAAATAGAAAAATATTTCCTATTAGCAAGAATGAAAAAGATATTTTATATCAACAAATAAAGAAAAATATTCAATATAAGTAAAAGTGTCTTATCAAAAAATCTAAGTAAAGAAAGAAAAAAATATTTAAAATCAGCAAAATATGTTTTCTAAAAAAAAAAAAAAAAAAAAAAAAAAAATCTAGGCCAAACAAGAAAAAAATTTTCATATCAGTAAAAAATATTTCCAATCATCAAGAAAAATTACTCTAATCTCCCTCCCCCAAATATTTAAAAATCAATGAAAAATATTTCCTATCACCAAGAAAATTTTTTCTAAGCAAAAAAAAAAAAAAAAAAAAAAAAATATTTAATATCAATAAAAAATATTAAGTCACCAAGTATAATCTTTATTAAGTCAAAAGGAAAACAGTTTTAAATAATGTTTCAAATGAATAAAAAAAATGTAACTGAAAACATTATATTTTGTTTTTTACTTCTTTTTCAGTTTAAACGACCATTTGGGATGCATGTCATTTGGCATTTTACACTTAATAAAACCAAACAAGGTAAGAATTTTTCAGATGCATTTCTTGTTGCTGTTTTAAGCAATTTTTTAAGGTCAAACATTTAGCAAACACACTGAAAAATCAGTTTGATGGGCTTCCATAGAGTTTAAATTTAAAGATGCTATAAAAACAATTTTAATTTAAATGACTTGTTCGTCCAGTATAAACATGCAACAGGTCCCTCACCCAACTTTCTACCAAATGTCTAATGACTACTCCAAATTACATCTCCATTCATTTTGGTCTAATTCAAAAACTGGAAAAGGGCTGTTGCAACCTCACAAGATGAAAACAAGTGTCATGGGAGAAATGAAGACTTAGACCCTATTTTTAAGATATTTACGTTTTTATTCAGGGCTTCACTTGTTCAGTCTGGCTGGGTAGAATAGGTTTCACTTGGAACAATACCATGTTGGACTAACAGATGAGCTCTCTTCTTCCTACTAACTCACTGCCCATCTCAACATCATGGCTGGCAGAATGAACAAGCAGCATCAGAGTTACTTGAGGGTCAGTCTTTCTCTCCCCACCTGCTAAGAGTGAAACAGAACTCACTTCAATGTAAACTGTCATCGTTAATATAGCAATTGGAAATCATCAATGTCCAGTTTGTCGTTACATGATGTCAAAAGTTTTCATTTAATTATTCTTTTATTTCTTTTTGTTCAAATGGGTGATTCTTAGAAGGCTCAAATTCAAAGACTTTATCTGCCAGGAAACACTTGAGACTGAGATAAAAATCGCACACCATTCCTGTCCATGTGGGTGTCCCAATCATCGTGTCACACCTGGAGTAATCATCAAGCTGGTCTCACGGATCATAACTCATGGCCAAGAGGTTCCATGCTCAAATTTTGTAATATTAATTTTATTACAGAATTGCACTGGAAACAATTTTTCTGTAGAAATGTATTGCTAATGATTTTACTATAGGGATGCATTAAAAATCATGAAGAAAGGGATTGTCAGTGGTCAAGAATGAAAGTAAGAATTACTGATAGAATTGGGCTATTATATGTATAGGGATTGTCAGTGGTCAGGAATGAATGCAAGCATTACTGATAAAATGTGGATATAATTTATATTTTTATGTATTTTACAGCGTGTGGAGGGTTGGTATCATCTCCTGAATGAGAAGACTGGTCCCAAAAAACATTTGTTAGTTGCAGGGAAGCAGACCCCTGTCCTGCAAAGAAGAGGTAAAGTTTTGTTTTTTTTTTTTTTTGATTTCAGTTTTTTACCTGAACTCATATTTATGATATACTCTTTAAAATAAAATTAGTCATTTTCTTCACAGAATTAAGTGTATTGACAAAGAAAGTGATTTTATTGATAAACAAATATCTGTTGTTTAAAATATATGCTTTTTTATCATTTAGCTATAGACTTATTGATCTACCTCCATAAGCGTTTTTTAGTTAACAGTGAAATGAAATTGATCTTATGTCCTCAGTATTAGACCTCAATGTAAAAATTTTCATCACTTCTGTAATTTCTTATATAAAGGAATGTAGGTTTGGGTTTTTCCAGATAGAAAGTAGAACAAATGTTTGCCTGTGTTTTTCTGCACACATACACAGTAAAAATCTTTCAGGATTCTAGCTGAATCAAGAAGGCAAAAATTTTGTTTTATACTAGAATTCACCTAATACAAAGCTGGAGAGCCACTCAAAGTAGAGAGTAACTGTTAAAATGGCAATGATGAAGTCTGTGATACGAATGAAAGAGGTGGTAGGAAGTGAAGATTATGAGAATAAGGAGAATGATTGACTTGAATCTACAAGTGGTTTAATATTTACTGGCTTAGGATGAAATCATTGTGCAAAGTTCAAAGTTCAGCAGAACCAATTACATTCACTTTCACACAGATATCCTTAGAAAAGATATAAATTCATCTCTTTTCCCCATGCAGCTATGGGTTAAATAGTGAAGCAGACTGAACTCTTCAGCATTGGCAATCAGTCTAGGAGAAAGAACACTAAATTAAACATCAGTTAGGCTAGCAACTTCATCCCATAAAAATCTACTTGCTATGAAAAACACAACAGCATCTCTATCCTCATATTTCACTGTAGCGTTGACAGGATTCGAATGAATGTTTGTTATGTTTTATGGCATATCAACCTCAATGGGTTAATTAATGCTGACAATATTTTTATTACTGGTAATATATATTTTTTTTCAAAAATATATAGCTGGTAATAATTTATCTTCAAAAATTTATTGCTGGTAATAATTTTTTTTATAAACTATTTCTGGAATTAAAACCTATTTTTACATCTTCATAGTTTGAGGGGGTTAACTATTTACCCATAGCTGGGACCCTAACAGGTGCTACCACCCTGGGTCTAGGTAGACCTGGGAACACTAGCAATTAAGAGGTGGTTCTATGCTCCTCAAAACCTCCTGATAAGAGGTCTTGCTGTTGGATGTAGTTTATCATCTTACCCAGGATGTGGATATAGTTTATCGTCATACCCAGGATAGAGATTTAAATGAATGAGTTTGAATTGATGTGGTTAAGATTGTTATATTTCTTTTGTGATGTCGGACAGCTTCGCTTATCACTTTTGCTATGTCAAGCGAAATTTCATTATCACTTTCAAAAATATTTGTTATATTTGAGACTTGGTAGACACCGATACTAGTAGTAATGTCTTCTAATAATATTTGCACTAGTAATATTTGTTCAAGTAGTAATCGCCAAATAGTATAATGATCAGAAGAGAATTGTAATCTGTAAAGTAGTAGAGTAGAGAGAGTGAACATATAGTAGTAGTGGATAGGCAAGAAGAGTGAACAGTGATCGTATAGTCACCACGCTACTTCCTATTTATTCATTTCCTTTATGATCACATGATCTACTTAATAATGGCGATCTAATGGTTCAGATTACAGTGTTGGCAACGACACTTATACAACAATTTGCTATCCACTTTGTCATACTAATTCACAAAAATTTTGCACTTCTGTGCTTAAATCATATAAATATGCTATTGTAGTGAACGAGATAATCAAGTACCCCGGAAAAAGTTCGTGTTTTGAAATGCGATCTGCGGGGAGGGATTTAAAAAAGTAGTCAGCAAAACTCTTATAGCGACTTACCTTGTCAACCCAAGCGACAGCGCGTCGGCGTGTATTCTGGGACGAAAAAGAAACAAGTCCGTCGAGGAGTCGCTATAAGAGGATATTAATATGCAAATTACGGAGTATCATATCCCGGCTGTGGCGAATGGAAAAAATAGGTTCTGCCGATAAAAGCAGTTGGTGTTGTCGATTTCGGGAGGAAAAAATTCGGGCAGTTTTGGCTACGGCGTTCATGAGTTATTTTCCTGACGTGTTACAAGTGATTTTCTTTCGTTGTGTTGTGGAAGCCACAAATTTGCTTTGAGAACGCTTACACTTCAGCTATAGTGTTATAATATCTTTATCTTTTAAATCATATAAATATGCTATAGTGTTATAATATCTTTATCTTTTAAATCATATAAATATGCTATAGTGTTATAATATCTTTATCTTTTAAATCATATAAATATGCTATAGTGTTATAATATCTTTATCTTTTAAATCATATAAATATGCTATAGTGTTATAATATCTTTATCTTTTAAATCATATAAATATGCTATAGTGTTATAATATCTTTATCTTTTTAAATCATATAAATATGCTATAGTGTTATAATATCTTTATCTTTTAAATCATATAAATATGCTATAGTGTTATAATATCTTTATCTTTTTAAATCATATAAATATGCTATAGTGTTATAATATCTTTATCTTTTAAATCATATAAATATGCTATAGTGTTATAATATCTTTATCTTTTAAATCATATAAATATGCTATAGTGTTATAATATCTTTATCTTTTAAATCATATAAATATGCTATAGTGTTATAATATCTTTATCTTTTAAATCATATAAATATGCTATAGTGTTATATTTGTATATTATTATAATATTTGTTATATTCGTAAGTGAATGTAACAGATTCCAATTGAATCTGTTACATTCACTTATGTGCTAATACTCTTGGGAAAGGTATGAATCCTCTTCTTCTCTCCCCAGCTATGGGTAAATAGCAGAACAGACGGAGTTCTATAGCCTTGGATGGCAACTGATCTAGGAGAAGGACAACTTTGAATTCAAAACCTGCAGAGGTTCATTTGGGGACATTGTGGCAAAAAGTGTGGTTGGTTCTGCACAAAACCTTCACCACTATAATCAAATCATATGTGCTCATGTCTGGGCTGTTGGTTACTAGGAACTGAGACGCTTGACCCTCATATGTCGAATACAACAGGAGAGTCCGCCATATATGTGTGTGTGTGTAGGCACAGTGGAGTAATGGATAGTGGCTTGGATTTAGGAATTGAAGATCCGAGTTCAAATTCCAGTCAAATCCATTACATTCACTTACATGCTAATACCCTTGGGAAAATATGAATCCTCTTCTTCTCCCACCAGCTATGGGTAAATAGCAGGACAGACGTGCTTCTATAGCCTTGGATGGCAACTGGTCTACCACAGAAAGAAATGACAACCTACTGTGGGAAAAAATCTGTATCGAAAGATACATGATTGCTTAAGTGTGTATCAACACATAACTGACTGATAGTGTTATAAGTAAATCTTTATTGTGAAGTCATTTTTAGTGTTCAGTGAATTATCTTCATGTGAGTGTTCAACAAAGTGACAGTTCTTGGGGAAAAAATACTAGGTTGTTTCAACTCTGTGGTAGTAGTATGTTGTGTCCTAGTGATAAAGGCCTGAAATAGTATCCAAAATAAAGTACAGCTACTATTATACCTTCTTTACAAAAGATTTCAGATGTGACTAATTTTTCAACATATTCTGCTACTAGACATTTTGTATTAGCTGCTAATAAATAACTTATCAAGTTTTAAGTCAGTCTTGAGCCTTAACAGTTATCAACTTAAATTATGACTTGAGCAAAAAGTTTTTAATTTGTCTTATTTCCTATGGTTTAATCCAGAGAAGACAAGCACATTGATAAATCATTAAATGTATGGATGCGGCATCATGCTACAATATTCACAATCATCAGTACACAGGGTTATATTTGCTATCCACTTGGTTGTGCTCATTCATACAAATTTTGCACTTCAGTGCTTAAATCATATACACTATATTGTTATAGATGAATCCTCATTGTGAAGTATTTTGTAAGGTATTTCACTAGTAAAAATATCGTAGTGCATTCCTGTAGTAGATTTGTTTTCAAAGAATTCTATAATAAAATCATTTTGAATGCATTCCTGACATAAAATCATTTCCAACGCATCCCTATAGTAAAATATATATATATATATATATATATATATTTTTTTTTTTTTCTCCCTGTTCACTCATTCATGTCATCCTTGACAGACTTTCTTTTTCTTTTCCTCATAATCTTAGTTCCCCGTTAACAGTTCTGATGAGGGGACAAAACCAGTCAACTGGTGTGTTTTTATTTTAAATCTATCATGGCCTACAATATAAAATTTCTTGTTTTAATGCCTTAAATGCCTTTTTGTACTGTTTCAAACATTATATATATATATATATATATATATATATATATATATATATATATATATATATATCAAAGGTTGTTCCAATATTTTGGACCAATTTTAAATGAGAATTAAGTTTAAGCGTCTAATGATTTTTTTTTCTTTTTCTTTCAGATTTAACAACTTAAGTCTTTGGCAATTTCAACCATGGAAAGATTAACAATCAAACAACGTGTTAAAGTTATCGAAGCCTATTATGAAAATCGATGTTCAAACAGAAATGCACTTTGTGATTTTTTGGTCAAGGTAATCGACCAACCAAGAACGCAATTGGAAACAATGTAATGCTGTTGGGGAGAGGTTCAATTCCTGTGCGTGATGACGAATAGAGGGGGTCTGGATTTTTGGCCACGTACTCGTGCACTGAACAGCATAAACAAGCAATAAATGATGTTTTCACATCTGCCACAAACCCAGTTTGTTTGAATTTACAAACAATTTTTCCAATTGCATTCTTGAAACTAACATGTTTGATTGTTAATCTTTCCATGATTGAAATTGCCAAAGACTTAAGTTGTTAAATCTGAAAGAAAACAAAAAAAATTAGACGTTTAAACTTAATTCACATTTAAAATCGGTCCAAGTTATTGGAACATCCTTTATATATTACTAGCAGTAGAGCCTGGCGTTGCCGGGGATGTAACAGTAAGAGAGAGATCAAGTATCGACCATCTTAAAGACTGAAAAATAAAATTGACAAAGGTTATTGTTTAAGGTTGACGGACACGCATGTCTTAATTAGTTTTTTTTTTTTTTTACGAATTGGTCAAACCCAAACTCAAACAAAAACATTGTTTTCAATCGTTATGAGTCTACCAATTGAATAGAATTTTATTATAAACAATTGTCTTGTAAATGTAATTTTTAAAGCATTCTGAATGTAAAAATAAAGAAAAAAGTGTGCAAGACAATAAGAAACACTACCTGCCAAAAAAAAAAAAAAAAAAAAAGAGAAGTTGAAATCGGTTGAAAAATGTAGGAAATCTGATCCTATATATGAAGAACACACACACACACACAAACAACTTGGGTTTTATAATAAGTATAACTCGATATGAGTTGTCCCCCTTTCATTTCAAATTGATTTCATGCAAAAATCATTGTTTTTCCCATTTTTGGCGCTATTAGAACCACCGCAAGGTAATTTTACGTAGTCCTGTGAAGTTTTGTTGAAATTGGTTGAAAAATGTAGGAAATCCGATCCAATATATAAACGTACAGACACACACACACACACACACAACTTGGGTTTTATAATAAGTATGATTTCTACTGTACCTATTCTTGTTATATTTTTTACTCTTTTATCCTGAATATTTCATTTTTGAAATATTTTTCTTTTCTTTTTTCTTGTAGGATTGCATGGCATTCCTTTGATAAATAAGGATTTATGGGGGATGGAGTCAGTGATTGTAAGTAATGAAAGTTACCATATTACAGATAATTATTAAAAATTTGAATTTATTTTTTGATTCTTAAAAAAAAAAAAAAAAAAAAAAATTTACATTTTAAATCTGATAAAAATGTGTTAATGTAAAAATGGTCTTCAACTGCAACCCCAAAAAAAAAAAACAATTTGAACAAACGAATTTTAATTGATGTGGTTAAGATTCAGGGTTATATTTGCAATCCACTTTTGTTATACTTATTAATACAAATTTTGCCCTTCTGTGCTTAACTCATATATATATATATATATATATATATATATATATATATATATATATATATATACACACACACACTATAGTGTTATAGATAAATCCTTATTGTGAAGTCATTTGTAAGTTATTTCTCTAGTAAAAACATTGTAGTGTATTCCTGTAGTAGATTTGTTTTCAAAGAATTCTATAATAAAACCATTCTCAATACATTTCTATCTTTAAATCATTTTCAGTGCATTCCTGACATAAAATTTCATTAAGTTTTCAATATATCTTATTTCCTGTGGTTTGAAAAAAAAGTCAATCATTCGATTTACAGTTTTGAAAAAGTTTTTGAAAAAATCATTTGTAAATATGTTTATTTAAATCCCATGTGGGGATTTGCTATATAAACAAATTCGGTACACTTTATAATGAAATAATTTTCATTGCATTTTTATAATAAATCATTTGAAATCCTTTGTTTTGTTTTTTTAAAGTAGAACTATTTCATTAATTTTTGTTATAGTAAAATCATTTTCAATACAATCCTATATCATCTACTATACATTTTTATAGAAAAATCATTTGTAATGCATTTTTATAGTCAAATAATTTTAAATACATTTCTATTGTAAAACCTTTGTATTTACATTATACATATTATGACCCTATTCTATCAGTAATGTTTGCCTTCATTCCTGACCACTGGCAATCCATTTTCAAGCCATTTCATTAAAAAATTTTTTACTCTTAATTTACATTATAAATATTAAAACCCTATTTTCTCAGTAATGCTTGTATTAATATCTGACTATTGACAAACTCTTCCATCCTGCTTCTTTAATAAAAACATTTGCAAACTATAGTAAAATCGTTTTGAAAAGCATTTCTGAATCTACTGATAGTAAATTTTTAATTTAACTTAAATATTTCCAATGCAATTCAATTAGAAATTCCTTTCTAATATTTTCTATTGTGGATTTATGCACTTCAATTGCTATTAAAATAATTTCTAACTGGTTTGTATTAAAAAATCTATTAGGTAATCCACTGTAAAATTATTTTGGTAGAAAAATATTTACAATGATTTTTATATATCACATTATCCCAATGCTTTTCACAAAAAAAAAAAATAAAAAAAAAAAATGGAAAAGTATTTTTAAAAATTAATTTCAGTAGAAAAATCACTCTTTAAATTATATCTTTATGAATTTTCATTGTATTTCTTACAAAACAAATGATTGACTGATTTTAAATCTAATAATAATAATGTACATGAGGACTATTGTCCTTATCTTCACTGTTGTTCTCACAACATTTCATCTTATTGCTCACTTTGTTTCCATTGAGTCTCAGTACATGCTGCATGGCCTAGGGATTGAACCCCTAATTGCTATGTCACTAAATTCACTAACCAACACTTTAATTCATTAGGCTATTAAAAAAAATATCTATTAAAAAAAAAAAAAAAAAAAAAATCCAAATCATTTCTTTGCAAGTTTAAAAGAAATCCAGGGGGAATAACTCTTTAAAATATTTATTCAATTAATTATCTCCCTTACATAGTAAACATTTTTGTTTTCGTTAATGTAACAGTTTGTATTTTTCTTGATTTCTTCTCGCAACAAAAAAGAAGAAAAAAAAAAGTCAATTTAAATATCATCTTTGAACTTAAATTTCGGTTCTATTTGATTCAAATGATTTGGAAAATAAAGCTAATCCGAATTAAAAGAAAAATCAATCAAAAATCCCCGTATACAAATAAACATTTTTTTTAGAGACATTTTAAAAACACTGGCACGTTTTTTTTTTTTTAGTCTCTCATTGAATCACTATCGTAGTTTTTTTTTTTATTAATCAAGGCGATAATTCCACTAAGATTCAAAAGACTATTGATAGTAAAAGAGAAAACTTTGGCTAGAAGAAACCACAGACTTAACTGTGAATAAATGTAAATAAAAATTCTTAAATCCTCTTTAAAATCTAATATTTGTTCTAGATATAGGCTTCGAAGTCTGTTAGCAAATTTGAGGATTAATTAACTCGATTTTCTAATAATACTTAGCTTTTACTTAAAATGAATAAAAAGAAAATTTTATTTATGCCCGGTAGCATGTGGGGGGGGGGGCAAAGAACCAAAGAGGTTGGATTGGTGTAAAAATACCAATGCCAGTGTGGCAGTGGTCATGAATGTTGGGCAAAAAAACAATTTTTGTTCTTGGCCCATATGCATACATATTTGTTAAAACGACCTTGTGTCACATAGTGAGGAAGCTGGGTAAATAAATATTAATTACTTATAGCATAAAATTTCTTAACCATGGGGGTCTTGTTTTTTTTTATGTGTTAATCGATTTATTGACAGCTGAATGACTGCTGAACGTGTTTAGTTAAGTATGGTGGAGCAGACAAAAGTGTTTTTTTTTCTCCCCATAATAGGGGACAACCTTTAAAATATGTGACCTTTTAATGATAATGTTATAGGTTTGAACATACATACTTAGAAATTCTGCATGTATATTACACATACAAAAACAAATCAAAATTCTTTTAAAAAATATTTGGGGTCATTAGATTATAATAAACTTTACAATATATAATCAGCTATTATAGTTTTACTTAATAACAATATTTCCTAAGAATTATCTCATTGAAAATTTTAAAAGATGTAAAACTTTATAAATTATTTAGTTTAAAATTATATAAAAAAAAAAAAAAAAAAAAAAAATGAAGGCATATCTTGTAAAAATTCATTTTTTGTTGAAAATTTTTTTTCTTCAGACAATATCATCTTTAATATATCTTATTCATAAAAGCAATTAAAAGCTTCTCTAATTAAATAATGTCTTAGTTTTTTTTATTTTTCAATTCGGAACAGATTTTTGGTAAAATGGTGTTCAATTTTGCAAAAAAAATTGGGGATTTAAATTCTTCAAAGAATTCTGCTTTTAACTGATATAGTTGCTGAAATTGTCTCAATGAATTTCTCAAGTTTCCACAAAATTAAGTAAGGGGCTGAAACACATGTAAAAAAAAATTTGCCAAGATTTTCTAATAAAAAAAAATTCAAAAATAATTTAATTCATTTGTGAATAAGTTCTGAAAATTTAATTTAACTCCAACAATTATTTGATTTTTAGAAGAATTTCCAAATTAATGTATTTGTCATCGCAAATAAAAGAGGTGAAAATTTGCTGTGCTAAAAGTTAGTACAACTGCTGACACAAGGACAAGTTTCTTTTTAAATCAAAATTTCAAATTAAAAAGTTTAATATTAAAAAAAAAATACTTTGATCCTTCCTCTTACTAACAAAATTAACATTTTGATGATAAAATTATGTTTTTATTACATTTGGAGCAGGTTTTCATTATGGTATGTTGATTTTTTAGCAATCTCTTGGAGGTACTGAATCAGATGAAGATTCTACTTAAAAATGGATCCATTTTTTCTGAAATGAAAGCAAAAAATCACTACCCTTGTTTAAAAAAAAAAAAGGTTATTTTCAAACAAAATTTTCAGGACTTATTCAGTAATGAATTAATTTTTTTACTGAATTGGATATTTTATTAAAAAAGAAATCTACGGGAAATATTTTTTGCTAAATTTATTCCACACTCTTTTCAAAATATCTTGAAAAACTTTAATTTTTTTTTTGTGTGTGTGTGTGGGGGGTCAACCAATTTTTTTTTTTTTTTTTTTATAAAGAAAATCCCTGAATATATTATTAAAAGTAAAAACATTTATTCAGTGTAAATATTCGTTTTTTACTGAAATAATTTAACAAAACTCAAATAATTTGAGAATGCAGTTTAAATTCAATTTAAAAAAAAAGGTTATTTTCTTTAAGATCAGACAGAAAAAAAAGAACTTTAAATTATTTTTTAAAGATGACTTTTAATTTTTCAGTGCGATTTTGAAATTTATCCCATGTTGCTGTTTGTTACAAAAATTTCTTTTATTTAAATAAAGGCATGCAAGATTACAAAAATTAAATTCTTTTAAAAAAAGAAAAAGAAAGGTTCACACTCAAAACTGGCATTAAACAAGCAGACGATATCAATTTAGTCAAAATTTTTCCCCATATTTATTTACACTTTGTAACAGAAGTTATAAAAAAGCCTTTGGTTAAGTTTCTGAATTTTTTTTTATTAATTGTTAATCTTTCACTATTTTTAAATTTTATTTTTTCCATTTAATTTTTTATTTGAATATTCATTTAAAAAGAAAAAAAAAATGACTTACCTCGTCGTCCAAAACACTGGCTTTTTTAGCTTCTTTTTGTTAAAAATAAAAAGTGGACGTCTCTCCATTTGGTTGATTAATTTGCAGTATAAACACCAAAAGCTGCCGATATTGAGAATGTATCATTCTGGTGTGAAATTGCCCGGTTAGTTCGAAAATGACGTTTTAAAATATTGCGCTCTATTACCATTTTTGATTTATCGTCAATGTAAGTTCGATCTCTTTCGCGTTGTCCGGCCGCCATTACTGGCGTTGTTTATATATTTTTTCCTCTAGAAATAATGCGCGGAAGCTTACGGCCTTTTTACAGCTTTTCGTATCTTACTGTTCTTGATTACAACGCGATTTTCGTGGATGTTATTTTAAAATGCGCTTATTTTTTGAAATGAAGTTTTAAATGAATAGTATTTTTTCTTTATTGTCCTTAATAAATCTGCTTAGCTAATGAAACAGAAATTCGCCCTAAAATGTAATTTATGAAGTTCAAGAAACTTTCACAATACATAAAAAAAAAAAAAAACATCGTTGAAAAGAAGGAAAAAATCCTTTTTTTTTTACTTTTCAGGCACGTATCTTTTTATTTTATTTTATTTTAATTGTCGGATTTTACATTTTTTTCGCGCATTCTTTTCAAACTTCGCGCATTGCGCAGTAATCAAGACAAGTGAAGCTTCCGCGCCGCATGACTCATTGAGGCAAACGCATGTAAACAAAGCCAGTAATGTCGAACGTTCTGTGTACGCGACAAGAAAGAAGTCGAACTTATACTGTCCATAACTTCTAAACAGTAATCAAGCGCAATGTTTTAATATCATTTTCGAAATAACCAGGCAATTTCACACCAGAATGATACATTCTCAGTACTGGGGGCTTTTGTGGTGCTTATACTGCAAATTAACCCACTAATTGACGTCGTCGGAGAATATGTCTCAAAATCTGCTAATTTTCCTGCCATTAAACTTTAATGATCGAAGGGAAGATTACTTTTTAAAAGTTTAGGTAACTTTAAAAATATTTATTAAGGTTGAATAAGAAGTTTTTCAGCGTGTCTAGAATTATTTTTGTACTCACGAAAGCATAATTTAAATTTTTAAAACGAGACAACAACACAAGGGCGATAACTGGTCAGACATCTTTAATTATCTCCCTTAGATCGTTTTTTTTAATTATTTTCTGATTAGGCGATGTGATATTCCGATGTGCTGAAAAATTTTCAGGGCGACCCACTTTCTGATTAAATGATAAAACAGATTTCTTTTTAATATTTGAAAGTGTTACCTGTTCTGATCAAATACTTTTCAGTGCCTGCTTGTATATATTTGCTTCATTTCCTTTAGGACATACGTAATTATGACTTTCCACAGATTATGTTTCTTTATCACCTGTGAATTACCATGATTATTCTCGAATAAACGGGGAGAGGCGTCAAATAAAATACAGAGCAGGGGGGGTCTCTTAATTTTTGAAAATCTTAATAAATGTGCCCTCCACTATGTTTTTGAGAAATAAAAGTAATATTCCTAATTTTGTATTCTTGCCTCTCAAAGAAATGAGGCAGTGGGATTCAAATAAAGGGTCTGTGCATGTGTGTGGTGGGGTCCCTTAATTTAAATTTAAATGTAGTGGGGTCTCTTAATTTAAATTTAAATGTGGTGGGGGTCCCTTTATTTAAAATGTTTTAGTAGGCATACCTACCATCATCAATTTACTTGAGAAGAAAGAGTATTTTTGTTCATTTTGTACACTTGCCTTTCAAATAAACTGAGGTGGGAGGGTGCTGGTTGGTGGGGTGGCTCTTAATTTTTTAAATTTTATTAAGTACACATACCCACCCTGTTTATTCTAGAAGCAATTGTAATTTTCCTCTTTCTGTACTCTTGCTCCTCAAATAAACATTGAATTCTTAAAGTGAGTTTGGCAATGTTCAACCTTTGTTCATGCACTAAAGCTTTCAATTGTAAAATAATGAGACTGAACTGCCAATCCAGTACTGCACTTAAATTCATAAAGTCAAAATACCAAAGGGTTAAGCAATATTTATTTTATAAAAATACAAAAATTTGGCACAAGGCCAAAAGGAGGCATGATCTTCTTCTGTCTTATGATTAAACCTAGCTAGCCGCAATTATTAACACAAACATACCACAGTATTCCAGAAATAATGTATTCTTACTTACCATTCTTACTACATCCACCGTAATACATCAAAGTCTCTATGAAGTCCTAACTAGTTCCCATACGTACCATAGAGAAAAGTGTTATGGGACCTTACCCATAATAACATAATGGACTATTCCATATGTAATAAATACTGTGCCTCAAGAGGAAGCAGGGAGTTCAGTCTGATCTCTCTGCCTTCAGGCAGGGAGGAACCCGAATAAGGCTACACCGAAGGGCGGAGTTTCTTTTGGGGAGATAAACCGACCCTGAACCCGTTTATACGGGGTCAAAGGGCATATTTTTGGCCGAGCCCATGGGCTTGGATATCCCACGTTAAACCGGCCTTGTGCCACATGATGCCCTCGTGGGGGGTGGGGGGGGGGTTGACTAAATACCGTTCAGTTTGAAGTCGGGCGACCGGCTGATTGGTTGAACTCTCTGCCTTCGGGCGGGGAGAAACCGGAACGAGGCTACGCCAAAGGGCGGAGTCTCTTTCGGGGAGGTAAACTGACCCTGAACCCGTTTATACTAGTTCAAAGGGCATATTTTTGGCTGAGCCCACAGGCTCGGAGATCCCACGTTAAACCGGATGCCCTCGTGGGGGGGAGGTGACTAAATACTGTTCAGTCTGAAGTGAGGTCCGTCAGAAGTCCGTCAGTCAGTCAGAGCGAGCGAGTCAGTCAGTCAGTTGAGTCAGAGGCAATCCGAAACAGTCCCGTTCAGACAAGTACTACTAAACCTGATTGTTCGTACTAACACTTTTCTACTTCTCTGTATATATTCCTGTTTGTAATATATCTGTGTTATTCCATATCTGCCTTCGAGTTCTTCTTTATTGGCTCTACCTTGAACTACCACCATGGTACAAGGAACCGGACCATAACAGAAAGTAATATTAATTTTGAGTAATATAAAAATGTGGCACAAGGCCAAAAGGGGAGGATAGGAGAAGGCCAATCTTATTCTGTCTTATACTTAGCTAGCCATGATTACTGACTCAAACATACTACAGTATTCTTAGCACCAAAACGACACATTATTATTTAAAATCATTACTACAGTCACCATAATACCTCAAAGTCTCTATGAAGTCCTAACTAGTGCCTAGATATACCACAGAAGAAAGTTCATCAGAACAATTAATATGAAAGTATTTAAAGAAAAGACACAGGGAAGATGCATTACAGCAGTGGGAAAGTGCCTGAAGCTGAGATGCCTGATCAGGACTGATAACATTGCAAATTCTTCTTTAAATATATAGCAGGAGCACCAGACCAGATGTTGTAGTATCTTTCCCAGTTTTTGTGCAAAAGTAAAAAGCGGAAAGAGATCCCAGAGAATATTTACAATATACAATTATATAAATTACATATGTTCTGGACCTTGTGTCACAACCTGACCTCAGGTGTGGGGTGGTGGTGGTGAGTAAATATGAATTACATATGTTCTATTTTCCAGACGATAAGAAAAATTGGAATGATTTTCTGTTTATTTTCATTTTATATAATCTGTCAAAAGCTAAATTCCAACATTGTCAAATTAAAGAGATCAAAGTTTTATTTTCATGGTATGTTTTTAAATTTTCATTAATTTAAAAAAAATAAACTTTGCAGGTTTCAATTGAGAGGGGAAAACGAGGTTATGGTTTTTCAGTGATTGATGCTTGTCCCGTGCGTATAAGCAGAGTTGATGGAGGTAATTTAAATAAAATTTTATTGCTTGAAAACAATTTTTGCTTATTAAAAAACAAAATCAATTACTGCTTAATTTTACAAAAATTTCTGTCAAATTTAAAAAAAAATTATTGCTTAATTTGAAAATAAATTACTGCTATATTAAAAAAATCTATTTAATTCAAATTAAAATTAAAGCTTAATTTTAAACAATAACAGTTTAATTTTAAAACAGCTTATGCTTAATTATAAAATCTACATTATTTTAAAAATGAATATAATTTAAAATAAAATTGCTGCTTTGTTTTAAAAATGTTACTGCATAATTTTTTATATTACTATATTATATTATATATTATTATACAGGGTGTTTCAAAAAATTTGATATCCTTTGAGATGTAAATATCACAGAAAGTACATGATTAAGGCAAATGAAATTAAAAAGTAATAATGTTGAAGATCATAAGATTTATTCTTCCAAATCTGAATGAGAAATTCAAAAGCATGTGGATTATGTGAACACACAAAACGCCTTTTCTCTTCTAGTAAATAGCATTTTTATATCTGTAAAGAAAAAGATTAAAGATTAAAGAACATAAAAATACAAATAAGAAAAACATAAAGCCATAAAAACATAAAACAAACATTAAACATAAAGATGCTATTGAAAATTGAAGTCATTTGAAGGAGATCTAACAAAGTTATTAGATTGCGAAATGATATCAAATTTTTTGAAACACCCTGTATTATATATCATATATTATTATGTTATATTATATATTATGTTATATTATATATTATTATATTATATATGTAATATATGTGGCCCAATCGGTTAAAGCATGTCAGGCTATATGACAGTTCCGTATAGGATACAGGTTTGATTTTTGTTGGAGGATGCATATTTTCTATAAAAATTTCTTGGACATTCAGGCCAGTAAATGTTGTTAATACTGTTTATTATAAACGGAGCATTTACTTAAATATTTGTATCTATAAAAAGAATGTATAAACATAAAAAATATATTAAATAATTGTTGGACTTTGTCCATTTCATAATGTATAACGTCATTTGTTTACATATGGATACGCCTTGAGCAGATATGAATGAATGAGAGAAAATCATGGAGAATTGTGTTTAAAAACAGTAAAATCAACCTTGCTAACCAAATGCTCCTCTGTGGCCCAATTGGTTAAGGCACGTCAGGCTATATGAGGTTCTGTATAGGATACAGGTTGATTTCTGTCGGACAAGGTATATTTTCTATGAAAATTTTTCGGACATTCAGGCCGGTAAATGTTAATACTGTTTATTATAAACAGTTCATTTACTTAGATATTTGTATCTATAAAAAGAATGTATAAACATAAAAAAGTCTTAAATAATTGTTGGACTTTGTCCATTTCATAATATATATCATTATTATATTATATATTATTATATATATTATATTATATATATTATATTATTATATATTATATTATATTATTATATATTATATTATATTATATTATTATTATGGGGCATAAGCAGAAACTGCTTCTTTGTCCCATAATAATGGTTACATTTGTGCATATATTCCATTTATTAAGTGTAGCAAGTCTTATGGGACACAAGTTGTAATTGTTTCCTTTGTCCCATAATAAAGTTACATTTTCATATATATTTAATTTAATTAATGCAACAACTATTATGGGACAGAGGTAGTTTAAATAATGAATCTACCTTTGAATTTCTGTTTTGAATTATGTGACTCTTGTGTCTTCATTATTTTAGCCTCTCCAGCTTCATCCGCTGGCCTTAAAGTAGACGATAGGATTGTTCGGGTGAATGGGAAAAACGTGTCTCGATCTGGATCAATGAGTGTTGCTAAACTGGTAAAGTAAGTCAAATATTTATTTTTTATATTTGTTATGGGAAATTAAAGATTTGCTTTTGCAATCAACTTTGTTTTTATTTAATGCAAAGATAAAAATTTTTTCATTGCCCTTTTTTTAGACTATTGTCTCAATTTTTTTAATTGTAAATTTCATGCATTTTGAAGTAAAATGAATTAGTTTCATTCTAGATTTGTTTAAATATCAGTCTATTTCTTTCTGTTCATCTCTATCTATCTCAGCCTGTTCATTATCTAATTCAGTCAGTTTCTGTCTGTCTGTCTCAGTCTTTTCGTTATCACTCTATTTATCTATGTATTTCAGTCTTTTTATTATCTATCTACCTATCCATCTATCTACCTAGGCCTTTTCATTTCTCTCTCTATCTATCTATCTAAGCTGTTATCTATCTGTATATTGATAGATAAAGAAAAGACTGAGACAGTCTTTTCTTTATCTATCAATATATATATATATATATATATATATATATATATCTTTGTCTTTTAGTCATCATTCTTTCTATCTATTTATGTATCTATCTCATTTTGATATGTATCTATCTAGCTATCTATGTTCATTTCTTTCTCTCTCTCTATGTATGTATCTATCAGTCTTTTCATTGTCTGTCTGTCTGTCTCTTCATTATATCTGTCTTTTTGTTATCACTCTTTATCTATCTATGTATTTCAGTCTTTTTGTTATCTGTCTACCCACCTACCTATCTATCTATCTATAGCTGTTCATTTCTTTCTCTTTTTCTCTTTCTATTTATCTCAGTCTTTTAATTATCTATCTATCTATCTATCTATCTCAGTCTTTTCTTTATATATCAATATCTTTGTCTTTTAGTCATCACTCTATCAATTTATGTATGTATCTCACTCATTTTGTTATCTATCTATCTATGTTCATTTCTTTCTCTTTCTATCTATGTATCTATCTCAGTCTTTTCCATTATCTAATCTAAACTGTTATCTATCTGTAGTCTCAGTCTTTTATCTATCTATCTATCTATCTATCTATCTATCTATCTATCTATCTATCTATCTATCTATCTTTTAGTCATTACTCTATCTATCTATTTATGTATCTCTCATTCTTTTTGTTATCTATCTATCTATCTATCTATCTATCTATCTATCTATCTATCTATCTAATTAATTCAAACTGTTATCTTTCTATGTCTAATTGATTCCATGTTTGATTAATGTTTTTTTCTTTTTTCAGAAGTTGCAAAGAAATGATAACATTTGACATCCAACGTCCAGTTTGTTATGAGATCTTGGAGAAATCACCTTGGCGACCAGGCATGAACCACAATCAAGAAACTGCTGCTGAACTTAGTGACCTAGAAAACAATGGCCCAGAACAAAAGAAAGAAATTTCTGTGGACGATGATGGCCTTCTGATCAATAATGACAATGTGGCCACCAGTACCCCCTTTCCTGGGTCATGCGATCGGAAAATATTTAAGGTCAGTACAGATCATTCTTGACATCAGTTTGCCTCACTTAAGAGATTTTAAAATTACAATCTTTTTTTTTATTTTTATTTTTTATTGAAATTGCAATTTCCTTTAGTAATCAATGAATAAATACCAAAAGTTTCATTAAATTTTATAAATTAACTGAATTTAAATAGAAATTTAAAATACCAGTGAAGTAAGTTTCGAAGTGGAATTCTGGTCTATTGATTTTCTACTGGAAACAGTGGTAGCTGCGAGTTTGTATTGTTTTAATATCTACTGTAATGGTAATAGTAATATAAGCTGTTTCCTTATAAGGAAACATTTAGCATTCATTGACTGAGCAGCCAATCCTAATTGAGTTTTGCTTTTTATCACTCCCCGGCCATCAACCTGGGATTAGTATCTCTTCTCATCATCCCTAATGGTACACTTACGTTACATGGAAACATCCTTCATTAATTGTTTGAGCAGACAGTGCTACTTGTGTTACACTTTTCTTCACTCTTTGGGCTGTGGTCAATGTATAGTATCTCTCTCTCTCTCTCTCTCTCTCTCTCTCTCTAAATAATTTTGGTTGAGCTCTCGGGGGAAGAAAGTAGGAGTTTGTTAACAGTGACTACTACTGCTAATAATGCAATACTCTTTGATAAAACGAATCGAGTTCTCTCAGTCATTAGTATGTTTATTTAAAAAATAAAACGCTTAAATTCACCTTCATCCCTGCTGTGTGCCAATGGCTTAGGGGTAGATTCTCTGACTGACACGAATTCAGGCAGGTTCCGATCCTAGTACAAGCAACCAAATGTCTAAGCACACTGATGAACTGTGATACAGTGAAATGGTCTGTCTGTGGATGACAATATATATATATATATATATATATATATATATATATGTATATATAAATAAATAGATATATATATATATACATAAATAGATATATATATATACATAAATAAATATATATATAAATAAATAAATATATATAAATATATATATATATATATATATATATATATATATATAATTATTATTTATAAAAAAAAATTATAACATAAATATATTATAAAATCACTACAAAAATAGCCATTTTGTTTCAACACCCTCGGTGTCTTTTAAGAATAGTAATACTTGGTTATTGGAATTCATTCCATATATACCAATTATATACTTGTATGTATATATATATATATATATATATATATATATAAGGTGTATTTAAGCAGAAAGAATTCTTTCAAATAAGTTTTGTTCAGTAATATCAGAAAGTTCTTTCAATACAACTTTTTATTGAGTTTTTCAAATTTCAGAATTATTCTTTTTATATAATCGGTAAATGTACCAAAGTTCATTTTTATTTTTGAGTACTTTCAAATGTTGCAACATTTCTTTTCAAGGATTTTTTTGTCTATTTATATAACTGTTTTTGGCTAATTCCAGCATCCTGGTTATTTGCTAGAACCAATTTCGAATCACACTTCAATATATGATCCCATCTTCTTTGATTAAATTGCAGCTTCCAAAGAACAACATGTGCCATCAAAAGGCTGATGCCGTTCAGCGTTTAATTTCCATTGAATCAGACTATGTCTCCTTTATGCACAGTGGGATTGAACAATATTCGCGGCCATTACGTCATTGCATTCTCAGCCAGAAACAGCACTCAACAATTTTCCAAAATGCTGAAAAGGTCAGTTTGTTATTTTTTTCAAGTATCAATTACGTCAGAACAAAAGTCCATAGCATTTTTTTAAGTGAATTCAAAGACAATATTTAGACATTTGTACATAGATTTATTTAATCACATATGTGCCATTTTGTTCCACTACATTTTACCATCTTTGAGGCAGCTTCATGATTTTATTTTCTTAGAACCTGGCAATATTTCTGGATGATAAATTAGTCTAAATGGTTTTACGGATTTTTAGAGTATTGAAGTTTTTTCCAATTAAGAGAATAATTTTAATTTCAAAACTGTTAGAGATACAGACTTAATATTTGTGATTTTTTTTCTATTATTTTTAATATTTGTGAGGTATCTAGGAAATTGAAATTCTTCCAATTAACCTTTACCACACTAATATCTTTCTAGAATTGTTCCCCTCTTCCACTGCATTTTTTTTTTTTTTTTTTTGAGGCTGCAAAAACATGAACACTTACTGTTTTAAAATTGTTATAACTTTCTTTGTATTGTGCATATAGATTTTAATTTTTGTACTCGAATAAAAGAATGAATGAGTAATATTTTGATGTAATGCATTATGTTTTGCATGCATATTTTGATGTTGAAAACAAAAAAATTGAAACACGAAATAAAAAAATGTGAAGTAAAAAACATACATTAAAAAATACATAAATAATTCAATGTACTTTAATTTTTATTACTCCTGGTGGAGATCTGGGGTGCAATAAGAAACAAAATTGCTAAAAAGGCTTTCATTTTTTTCAAAAAAAGTGACATATTTCCTTGTGTTTACATACGAGAAGACACAAGCATTTGTTTGCTCTTTCTTTCACCTGACTCATATTTGTCTTGTTGATGAATAAAGTTATTATTTCATCATTTATAAATAGACGAAATAATTCACCTTCAGAAAGGCTATCAGGTATATCGATGGTTACCAGTAGCTTCCATAAAGTTACTCAGGCATGGATGATAGCTGCTCGTGGTCATTGTCACTTTCCTCCATATCACTAGTGTGGTTATCATCTCCGACCACTTCACGGTCAATATCCACTTGAGTAAAGCCTTCAAAATTATCATTGGAGTGTTAATCAAAGAAAAACATCTGGATAAAGGCTTTGTTGGATAATGATATGGCCATTTTTGTTTACAAAAAATTTGTGAAAAAATTAACGTGGGTTTAATCAATCTTACACCTCAGGTAGAGTCTAGAAGAATTCAAAATGGCATTGAAAAATGGAAGTTTAAACTTGTTCCAAAGAAGTAGTAGGCAATTTCCAGCTTAAAATAACCAGAAATAACAGTTGACAAGTGTTTATTTATAGCAATCGTCTCAAGGCAACAAAAAGTGCCTAGGGTAGCAAAGGGAGAGAATTCATGTAGAGTGTAGAAGAATTCAAAATGGCATTGGAAAACAGAAGTTTAGCCTTGTTCCAAAGCAGTAGCAGGCAATTTCTGGCTTAAAATACTGGAAATAACAGTTGACAAGGGTTTATTTATAGCAACCGTCTCCAGCAACAGAATATGCCTAGAGTAGTAAAGGAGAGAATTCTATGGTAACTACTGTCACCTGTAGTGTGTAAAGGTTAAGAGAATTTAAGAGTTGTAACCTGAAAGTGTACTGTCAAGTGAGTATTGGTGCATGTAGCAGGGCATCCCAACCAAGCTGTACCAATTTCTACTGGTTCTATAAAGAGATGATGTCTGGCTTTGTCCAGATGGAAGACATTGACAACCCAATTCCAGATGTTTTTTTTTTTATTGATTACTGTCTTTATTCAGTTCAATTAAGAACAGTAGTTATCTGAATTCGAAATATTCATTTGTAGAAGGACCTTGTTCCAATCTCAACAGATAAATCTTCAGATGCAGACCAACTTCTGGAGAGGTTAATAGTGGCTGATTTCATCCCATCTGAACATTTTACACTCCACATTGTTGTAAACAATATACTTTTCATTGCTTGCGATTAAACTTCTAAAATGTTTCTCTATGATGATTAAAAGATAGCAGTTTCATTCATTTGAAGTGTTAAAATTCATTTCTTGCCCCGGTTAACAACTAATTTGTGGTCATTTTCAAGAGCAGCTATCAGTTTTATTTTGTTGGATTTATTGGACTTACTCTTAAGACAGGAGAAAATAGTTGTGTCATCAGCATAAATAACTAGTTGAGAACTGATGACCTTGGTAAGGTCGTTGATGAAGAAGCAATGTAGGTTGAAGGATAGAGGTTTATGGACCCTCACATTAATGTGAAAGATCTAGAAGCATAGCCATTCAAGACAATCTTCATTACTCAATTTGTTAAGAATGATTGGATCCAGTCAAATATCTGACCAGAGACACTGTAGCCCTTGAGCTTATTGAATACTAGCAGTAGAGCCTGACGTTGCAACAGTAAGAGATAGATCAAGTATTGACCATCATAAAGACTGAAAAATAAAATTGACAAAGATTATTGTTTAAGGTTAAGAAAAAAGTGTGCAAGACAATAAGAAACACTACCTGCCAAAAAAAGTGAAGTTTTGTTGAAATCGGTTGAAAAATGTAGGAAATCCAATCCCATATATAAACGAATACAGACACACACTCACAAACAACCTGGGTTTTATAATAAGTATAACTCGATATAAGTTGTCCCCTTTTCATTCTTGACAGCGATGCCTCTTAATCGTGTTTTCAAATTGATTTTGTGCAAAAACAATTGTGTTTTTCCAATTGTTGGCGCTGTCAGAACTACCGCAAGGTAATATTACATAGTCCTGTGAAGTTTTGTTGAAATCGGTTGAAAAATGTAGGAAATCTGATCCAATATATAAACGAAACAGACACACACACACAGACACACACACACACACACACACACACACACAACCTGGGTTTTATAAGTATGATGTCAGCATGCCAAATGCTTTTTAGATATTTAAAGCCACAGCTTGAGCCTTGCTCTTCTTATCTAAAGACTGATAAATAAATTCAATAGCAACTGTTAACACATCGTTGGTTTATCTAGAGAAATGAATGCCATATTGTTTATCTGAAAGAATGTTGCATGAAGTGACATGCTTAACCAATTCAGAGTTGATTATAACCTCTAGTACTTTGCCAAAAAGTGATAAAAGATTAATGGAATGAGAATTCTAGGGATCAGAAGGTTCACCAGTGTTATTAAAGATTGGAGGAAGAGGATTTCCTAATATAATCTAATTTATCAAATAAATTTGTAGATTTCAAGCACAGTGGTGAAGTGATAGAGAGTGAGAAGAAAGAACTAAGCATAAACTACAAGAAAACAGAATGCATGGTCATCAGTAAAAGGATGAGCCCAAAATGCGATTTGCAGTTCGGGAACACTAGAATCAAGTAGTCGCGGAAGTTTAAATATCTGGGAAACGTTTTGACAGAGGACAGTAAATGTGACACTGAGATCTGTAGACGTATTGGGATGGCCAAGAACACATTCCAAAAGCTGGGTAGAGTATTGTGAGACAGGAGGATTTCTTTGGTAATAAAGAAAAGAATACTGAGCTGTTACGTGACATCTGTCCTTCTTTATGGTAGCAAATGTTGGGCAATTTCCTTAAAGATGAAGAAGTGACTCGAGGTGACAGAGATGTGGTTCTACAGAAGGTTGCTAAGGATATCATGGACCGAGCATGTGAGCATCAATGAGGTCTTAGAGAGGATGCAAACAAGGAGGAAGCTTATACTTAACATCAGGAAGAGGCAGATGAAGTTTCTGAGACACATAATGAGGAAGGAGGGCCTGGAGAATCTGATACTCATGGGTCAAATAGAGGGGAAAAGAGACAAGGGAAAATGACGCATGACATTCCTAGCAAATGGTTGAGGGAATGTGGTCTGGAGGATGTAGCAGAGGGAAGGAGCTTGCTGAGAGCTGCAAGGAATAGAGGGAGGTGGAGAGCCATGATCGCTTACGTCCTGAAAGGACATGGCACATAAAAAGAAAAGAAACAAGGTGAAGGAAACCTTAGTTGTCTCCCCTTTAAACTACTCAACTATAAAAGAAATGGGTGAACCTCATTTATGGGCAGTGGCCAAATTGAATTGAATAAAGCTTTACTACAAGCTTAAACATTCATCTGTTTTTCTTCATAAGCATGTTCATAATTCCTTCAAACTTTCATTCGTCTGCTTCTCTTCATAAGGATGTTCATAATTCCTTCAAACTTTCATTCGTCTGCTTCTCTTCATAAGGATGTTCTAATTCCTTCAAACTTTCATTAAATGACTTTTCTTTAAGCATGTTCATAATTCCTTCAAACTTTCATTTCTGCTTTTCTTCATAAGCATGTTCATAATTCCTTCAAACTTTCATTCGCCTGCTTTTCTTCATAATCATGTTCATAATTCCTTCAAACTTTCATTAAATCTGCTTTTTTCTTCATAAGCATGTTCATAATTCCTTCAAACTTTCATTCGTCTGCTTTTTCTTCATAAGCATGTTCATAATTCCTTCAAACTTTCGTTTGTCTTTTCTTCATAAGGATGTTCATAATTCCTTCAAACTTTCATTTGTCTGCTTCTTCATAAGCATGTTCATAATTCTTCAAACTTTCACGTCTGCTTCTCTTCATAAGCATGTTCATAATTCCTTCAAACTTTCATTCGTCTGCTTCTCTTCATAAAAGCATGTTCATAATCTGCTTCTCTTCATAAGGATGTTCTCTTAATTCCTTCAAATTTTTTCATTCGTCTTCTCTTCATAAGCATGTTCATAATTCCTTCAAACTTTCATTCGTCTGCTTTTCTTCATAAGCATGTTCATAATTCCTTCAAACTTTCATTCGTCTGCTTCTCTTCATAAGCATGTTCATAATTCCTTCAAACTTTCATTCGTCTGCTTTTCTTCATAAGCATGTTCATAATTCCTTCAAACTTTCATTCGTTTGCTTTTCTTCATAAGCATGTTCATAATTCCTTCAAACTTTCATTAAGTTTGCTTTTCTTCATAAGGATGTTCATAATTCCTTCAAACTTTCATTAAATCTGCTTTTCTTCTTAAGGATGTTCATAATTCCTTCAAACTTTCATTAGTTTGATAAGCATGTTCATAATTCCTTCAAACTTTCATTCTTTTTTCTGTTCTTCCTTCAAACTTTCATCTGCTTCTCTTCATAAGCATGTTCATAATTCCTTCAAACTTTCATTCATCTGCTTCTCTTCATAAGCATGTTCATAATTCCTTCAAACTTTCATTTGTCTGCTTTTCTTCATAAGCATGTTCATAATTCCTTCAAACTTTCATTCATCTGCTTCTCTTCATAAGCATGTTCATAATTCCTTCAAACTTTCATTCGTCTGCTTCTCTTCATAAGCATGTTCATAATTCCTTCAAACTTTCATTCGTCTGCTTCTCTTCATAAGCATGTTCATAATTCCTTCTAAACTTTCATTCGTCTGCTTCTCTTCATAAGCATGTTCATCAATTCGTCTTTCTTCAAACTTCATAATTCCTTCGTCTGCTTTTCTTCATAAGCATGTTCATAATTCCTTCAAACTTTCATTCGTTTGCTTTTCTTCATGCTTCATAATTCTTCAAACTTTCATTCATCTGCTTTTTTTTTCATAAGCATGTTCATTCCTTCAAACTTTCATTGGTCTGCTTTTCTTCATAAGCATGTTCATAATTCCTTCAAACTTTCATTCATCTGCTTCTCTTCATAAGCATGTTCAAACTTTCAATTCCTTCAAACATAATTCCTTCAAACTTTCATTCGTCTGCTTTTCTTCATAAGCATGTTCATAATTCCTTCAAACTTTCATTCGTCTGCTTCTCTTCATAAGCATGTTCATAATTCCTTCAAACTTTCATTCGTCTGCTTCTCTTCATAAGCATGTTCATCATTCGTCTGCTTCTCTTCATAAGGATGTTCATAATTCCTTCAAACTTTCATTCGTCTGCTTCTCTTCATAAGCATGTTCATAATTCCTTCAAACTTTCATTCGTCTGCTTCTCTTCATAAGCATGTTCATAATTTTCAAACTTTCGTTTCTGCTTCTCTTCATAAAGCATGTTCATAATTCCTTCAAACTTTCATTCGTCTGCTTCTCTTCATAAGCATGTTCATAATTCCTTCAAACTTTCATTTCTGCTTAATTCTTCATAAGCTTCATAATTCCTTCAAACTTTCATTCATCTGCTTTTCTTCTTAAAGCATGTTCATAATTCCTTCAAACTTTCATTCGTCATCTTCTCTTTTTTCATAAGCATGTTTAATTCCTTCAAACTTTCATTCATCTGCTTCTCTTCATAAGCATGTTCATAATTCCTTCCTTTCATTCATCTGCTTCTCTTCATAACATTTCATAATTCTTCAAACTGTCTGCTTTTTCTTCATAAGCATGTTCATAATTTGTTGTGTAGGAACCTACCACCCCTCTTGAAGATGAACTCGTCTACAAACAAGGACGTTAACTCGTGGCATGAAAAAAGACAGTGTAGAAGAAGTTCTGAGCTGAGTTAGTTATAGACTACTCAGGCGATATCTGTACCAACTTACCAACCGAATAAACCTCATTTTATTGTTACATGTTATTTGGCGTTTGTCTTTATTAACCCCAAATTAACATCATAACAGTGGCGACAAGAGATTCATTCATCACGCTGAGTGGAGAATTTTTCAACTCTAGGTGGACTATATTTTTTTTTTTTTTTTCTCACATTGAAAGAAAGAAAAAGAGTTACTAGAACAAAACGCATCAGGTAAATATGAAATATTTCTGGCCGGGAGATAAAGTTTTTTTAAAATTACAAAAAATGGGAAGGAATTTTGGCAAGATAGAGTAGTAGCATAAAGAATTGGTAAAATGTTGTACATGATAAGAAGCAAAAAATGGGACGCTAAAAGACATTTGAACCAATTAAGGAAAAGAATCATCGAAGAAATAAGTGAAGAAAAGGAAGAACCAATGGGTATTATATGATTTATTTGATATACTGACTCCACCATTGCCTGAAACAGTTGTTCAAAGGACAAGCAAAAAAGAAAAAGAACAGGGTGGAACGTTTAAGTCCAGATCCCAAAAGAAAAAATATTAATTCCTCTGGAATTAATCTCAAGGGGGAGGTGTTGTGTAGGAACCTACCACCCCTCTTGAAGATGAACTCGTCTACAAACAAGGACGTTAACTAGTGGCATGAAAAAAGACAGTGTAGAAGAAGTTCTGAGCTGAGTTAGTTATAGACTACTCAGGCGATATCTGTACCAACTTACCAACCGAATAAACCCCATTTTATTGTTACATGTTATTTGGCGTTTGTCTTTATTAACCCCAAATTAACATCATAACATAATTCCTTCAAACTTTCATTCTTCATATTTCCTTCATAAGCATGTTCATAATTCCTTCGCACTTTCCTTTATTTCAGTTTACTTATTCCTTTATTGATCTCTTTTCTTTTTTATTTTGTTTTTTCTTTCCTAGTTAGTCACATTATCTGAATATCACCTGAAACAACTTCAGTTTAATGCTCCATCTTGTAGTTCAACAGAAACGGATGATACATCCCAATCTGATGTAGATTCTCCATTTATCCAGAGTGTGGGATTGATTTACCAGTCAAAGGTCAGTACCATGATTTTTACTTAGGGCTTATAGTACTTTGCCAAAAAGTAGTAAAAAACTAATGAACTACAATGGCGAATTGGTAACAAGCTTGAAAGCAAGAAGAGGTAAGACATTTATTGTAGAACAGGAGTCAGTTCAGAAGCATATTTCCTTAGGACAGTAACAAGAACACCGACAAGTATTTTATATGTGTTTGTGTACATAGTCTAGACAATTTGGTTTAGTGTCTGTTTATTTTTCTTTATATTTGTACCATTTTGTTATTAAATATGTTAGCTGATGAAGTCCTAAAGGATGAAATGTATCTGATAAACTTTTTCAACTTTCTCACAGTTTGATTCTCTAAAATGGCTCTTGATATATAGAAATGCATACATCATTTCCATATATATATATATATATATAATGAAGTAAAGTGACAACACTATATAGCAGGTGAGTGTGAAAAGCCTTTTTTTCATTGGCTGACATTGACTGACGTGTGTCAATGAGAACGGTCAAAATCCTAGCAATATTGAAATGATTTCTAAATGTTGCGGTGTGTAGCATAATGCTTTCAAGGAGGTGGCCTGACTCATCCTGAGTCAGATTGGGGGTACTGTTTGGGGCAATATGATGAAATTGGCGATGAGGACAGTGCATCACTGAAGACCACCCTTGATGCATCTAAAATGTGATATGCAACTATATATATATATATATATATATATATATATATATATATATATATATATATATATATAGGTATGTGTATGATAAAAAATATACATACGCTCATGAAAGTCCAACAATTATTTAATATATCTTCTGTTTATACATTATTTTTGCAAATATATTTTATTCAAGCAAATACTCCATTTTTTTTTTAATTTAACAGTATTAATTACATTTACTGGTCTGTATGTATGAGAAATATTGTAGAAAATAGGTGCTCTCTAACAGGACATTAGGGTTACAGGTTCAATTCCTGTCAGAGAGTGCATATTTTCTACAAAATTTCTTGGATGTTCAGGATGGTAAATGTAATTAATACTGTTTAATTAAAAAAATGGAGCATTTACTTAAATAAATTATATCAAAAAAATAATGTATAAAAAGAAAATATATGAAATAAAAAGGCTTAAACACTAATATTCCATGGTTATAATTTATTACATTGGGATTGTAATTATGATCTAATTCATCAGACCTACAAATTCAAAAAGAAATCGGAAAAAGTAACTCTGGGAATAAAAAATAAAATTTAGTGAGAGTGTATGTATGAGAGTGGGAAGATGAATATGAGAAGTAAATGAAAGCTCTAGATAGGGGTAACAGATGAGAGAAGAAGAGGAAGGCCTAAAAGTGAAGGTGGGAATTAAAATTTAACAGAGAAAAGTTTTAAAGATAGGAGTTAAATGACGGTTTAAATGAGTGAGATACAGATAAATATGAATTACTGAATCACTGACCTAAATTAAATTAAAAACCAACACCGGAAACTGGTGTAAACATTTGTGGTGACACTATGCACAATAAAAGATGATATAATCTAAACTTAAAATTTAGAAGATGAGAAAGGGAGAGAGAGTGAGAAAAGAAAAGAAAAGAAAAAGAAAAAAAGGCGGAAGATGGAGGTGCAGCTAACTAAAACCAAAGGGCATTTATAAAAGAACCGATGTGCAATCAAGAAAATTTGACAAAAGTGATATCACCTACAGGTTACAAATTTAATATAAAAATGTAAAAATTAACGAATATTTAATCTAGCAAGGACCTACTATTTCTATGCCCCAAAACACATACGTACATACACACATACAAACAACATATTTATATTTACACACACATACATACATATATGCGTGTACACACACACACATATATATATATATATATATATATATATATATATATCCATACACATGCACTCCTGCATATATATATATATATATATATATATATATATATATATATATACACAGGCCACATATCTTCATTCAAACGTTTCATTGAATAATATAGACATATTGTGTCTATTTATTTTATACTGATCCTTTTCATTTCTCTAATTAGATTCTTGATGTTAAGATGAAATTCATCAAGTAAGGCACTTTAGTTTTTTCTAACCCAAGTACTTTTGATCTTTTTCAAGATCACAGTTACAATAAGTCAATAAGTTTGTCTTTATAATTTATCTCTGAAGATGATGTTGGAAAAATGATATGAATTATCATTATTTTAATATTTATTTTTCAGATTCATATGATAAGCCAAGCTTATAAACTTTATGCCCAGGGCCTTAGTGATGCTGACAAAACTTTGCAAGACTTACGAAAGAATCCTGATTTCAAGAAATTCCTTCAGGTAAGTCACCCAACAAAATAATATGTTGAGCAGAAAGAAATGTTTCGTTTTGGAGACAGCATAAAACCTATTCTCATGGAACAAATGTTAAACTTAACTGGTAAGAATTTAATCACTTCAATATGACAAAACCTTAACAGGGAAAATAATTCTTTCATTCCTCCTCGATGAAACAATCCTGAATAAATCTATTTCCAAAATGCAACATTAGAACCCAACAGTACATTGGGATAGTGAAGGATCTCTTCTAAAGGCTAAGCAAGGCATTAAGCATCAGGAAAATTTTATTAGAAAATCATGATGAAGAAGAAAGTGAAAAGTCATTCTATACAGTGAAAGATCTCCTCACAGATGCTGTTATGTAATAATATCAGTCAATTCTATATGGCACTGAACTGAATGCGAAGTGAATGCACAATCTCCTCACAGATGGAGAAGAGACTTGAAGCAAGAGAAACAAAGAAAAGAGTACTGAACTGTTATGTAATATAGTCCTCCTATAAGTGAATGCTGGACAATCCTCACAGATACTTGGAAACAAAAGAAATGAAGTACCAAATTGTTATGTAATATCAGTCCTCCTATATGGCAGTGAATTCTCCTCGATAAATAAAGTACTAAACTGTTATGTAATATCAGTCCTCCTTGAATGGATTTGAAGCAAGAGCAGGTGATGTAATATAACAAGTGAATGTCTTAAGGAAAATGTTTGAAGCTTAAAGAATGTCTTAAGGAAAATGGAAGCTTAAAGGATGCTTATACTTAGAATTGGAAAGTAACAGTTGAAATTTCTAGGGCACATAATGAGGAATGAGGATTTTGAGAATTTGACACTGATAGGGCTTATTGTAGGCAAGAGGGACAGAGTAAAGCAGCAAATAACCCACCTAATGAGATTTTTGTGTAAATGGTTCATTAGAAAAACCTTTCTAAGAGCTACAAAGGATTGAAAGTTGTGGAGAACCATGATCGCCCAAGATTTGAAGGGATGACCAAGATTAGAAGATGAACTAGAACAATAAAAGTTTTCAATCAGTATCTGAGTAAACCACTTTTACTTAAAATTTGTATCCAAATTTACCATTTTCATTTGATGGTAAGGTTTTTCTACAACTTCAATACTGTTTGCTACATAGAGCAAGTGACGTGTCCATCTATATATTGTGGACTTTTTCTGATGACACCTGTTTTGTTACCAATTGCACACTGGAAAAATTGATTAGACAAAATGTTATGCTAATAACACACCTGAAGAAAACTATATAATGTTAATGTTAAAATGTTAAAAGGTCATATAATGTTTGAGTTAAAATGTTAAAAGGTCATATAATGTTGAAGTTAAAATGTTAAAAGGCCATATAATGTTGACGTTAAAATGTTAAAAGGCCATATAATGTTGAAGTTAAAATGTTAAAAGGCCATATAATGTTGGAGTTAAAATGTTAAAAGGCCATATAATGTTGAAGTTAAAATGTTAAAAGGCCATATAATGTTTGAGTTAAAATGTTAAAAGGCCATATAATGTTGGAGTTAAAATGTTAAAAGGCCATATAATGTTGTTAAAAAATGTTAAAAGGCCATATAATAAAATTAAAATGTTGAAAAAGGTCATATAATGTTGAAGTTAAAATGTTTAAAAGGCCATATAATGTTGAAGTTAAAATGTTGAAAGGCCATATAATGTTGAAGTTAAAATGTTAAAAGACCATATAATGTTGAAGTTAAAATGTTAAAAGGCCATATAATGTTAAATAAAAAGAATGAATTCAAATATCTCTGGGTCATATATATGGAAATGCATTGAATTTGATGATCTTTTTATCTTTTTCTAGGAATCTGTTTCACAAAATGTCAAGTCCAGTATAAGTGCCTTTATTGTCCGACCATCGCAGGTAAAATATCTATCACTGTTTATGCAGCTGCTTTATTACTTTCAATATTGTTCTTTCTTTCTTTCTTTCTTTTTTCAGTATGTATCTTTCACTCTTTTTTTCTTTCAGTTAATATCTTTCTTACTTCATTTCTTTCAGTCAATATTCTTTGCTTTCTTTTTTTCAGTCAGTGTCTTTCTTTCTTCCTTTCTTCTTTTTCAGCCATTATCATTCACTCTTCTTTTCTTTCTTTCAGTTAATGTCCTTCATTCTTTTTTCTTTCTTTCAGTGAATATTTCTTTCTTTCTTTCTTTCTTTCTTTCTTTCTTTCTTTCTTGCTTTCTTTCTTTCAGTCAATAATCTTTTCTTTCTTTCTTTCTTTCAGTCAGTATCTTTCTTCCTTTCTTTTTTTTTCAGTCATTATCATTCACTCTTCCTTTCTTTCTTTCAGTTAATATCCTTCATCCTTTTTTCTTTCCTTCAGTGAATATTTCTTTCTTTCTTTCTTTCAATCAATATTTTTCTTTCTTTCTTGCTTTCTTTTTTTCAGTCAGTCAAGGTCTTTCTTTCTCGCTCTGTTCCTATCTATCTATCTATCTATCTATCTATCTATCTATCTATCTATCTATCTATCTATCTACTCTCTCTTATTCATATTTCCATCTTAGCATTAGAATTTACTAATTTGTCTCATCCTTTCTCCCTATCTTTGTTCATATCTATCTATCTATCTATCTATCTATCTATCTATCTATCTATCTATCTATCTATCTATCTATCTATCTATCTTTACAATTTGTAGCCATAAAATCAGCCAATCTAACTAAATACGTTGGTATGAGAAAATGCTTAATGAGTTTAGTCTGGTTGTCCATTACTACTAAGTAGTGATTATCACTGGGTGCCCCAGACAAAATTTGACATTAAATAATCCAATAAAGGTTGACATGTTGTAAAATCATCCAAACTAAGATATTGAAACGTTTTCAGCCTGATGAAGACAGGACGCAAAATAATTCTGATTTAGTTGTTTGGGAAGTGGGTTGGATTGAGAATATTTCAGCATCTCTCTGTCTCTCTCTCTCTCTCTCTATATATATATATATATATATATATATATACACACACACACACACACACATGCACACATTATATGTTTCAAAGGTTGTCATAGCTGGGGGTGATAATGGGGCTAAGCTCCCAGTGTCTATAAAATGCTTCCATGGCATGCTTCTCAAATAGCCTCTGACAACCAAATCCAGCTCAAATCCGGGGAATGGTTGAAAGCAGAAAACTGGCTCATAACCAGCTGCTTCAGGTAGATGGAGCACAAAGCCCAAGAAATCTAGGGCAAGGAAAACCATAATTTAAAACCTGCTACCTTGTGCCATATCCAAATACAGAAAAGGCTATAGCAGTAGACAGCCTTGGCAGTGCACAGCCTCCATATACCTATATATATATGTAGTTGTTTTGTATAATTCAGTTTGATTGTCTCTTCATAGTCATGTGCCTGTCTGGTCAATCCTAGTATCTTTTTTTTTGTAAATATTGTATGAATAAATATTAAAAGTTTTGCTTTGATGTGTCTCAAAGAAAAAAACCATAATAGGCTAAAACAGATTACAAAAGATAAAAACTAGTGGCTTGCTTATTGACTAAAATATTTTTGTGATTTTTCCAGATAAAAGTCCTCTTTGATGTGTCTCAAAGTTTGGAAATATTGAATGTTTTCCTGAGTGTTGTCTTCATCTTTATTGTTATGTTCATGATGTTACAGCCATTGTATGCACCAGCCTTCTTCAGGTGATTGGAATTTCAAATTAAACCCTTTATTTTGTCCACCTAATGGCTCAGTTCAAAATTTCAATCATCTGAAGAAGGCTGGAGTATACAATGGCCGAAACATGAACATGACAATAAATATGGGGACAACAGTCCAAACAATGTAAATAATTACAATACCTCATCTTGAAAATATAGACAGATATTTTCCTGTGGCTTACAATATTTTATTTTATTTTCAGCATATCAAAGAAATGTATCAAACCTTGCGAGAAATTTTTGCCAACACAAATCGAGATGCTTCTGATTATGCCAACCTAAAACAGATTGTGGAAGGTGAGACTGTACTTGTTGTTAAACAGTGGCTAGCTCTGATTACCTTGTAATTATTGGTGTGGGACTCAGTTTAAAATAAACATCTTCAACATAAAAACCATAACAGGCTAAAACAGATTACAAAAGATAAAAACTGGTGGCTTGCTTATTGACTAATATTTTTCAAGATAAAAGTTCTACTATTTAACCCACAGCTGGGGGAGAGAAGAGTTGGATTTCCATGTAAAATCTGCATATCTGTCATGTAAAAAATGTCATTATTTCCTCTTTACTCAGGCCTGCAGTTGTGCGTCAGTTACATCAACAACTACACCTGCATGCGAGCACTGAGCCTCTCTTCCTCAAGATCCTCTTCCTCGTCACAGACGTCCCTCAGTACCTCCATATCCAGTAGTTCTGCAAGCTCTTCCCTTGTCCATGGTAGCAGTTCCTCTGAAATCCCCCCACAATCTTCCAGTGTGACCAGACCAAATCAGACGACCCCAGAAAACAATGACGTCTTCCTCCAGCATGAATTGCAGAGTAACAGCCGGACGGTAGCTCTTCGGCGGGAAAAGCCTTCAGTGTCGTCTATTCGTAATTTGAGAGCCTCTACAAGTTCACAGTCAAAGCCAGGCCGAGCGTCAGTGTTATCAAACTGTTCAGAGGATTCAGGCCAGTCTTTAGATTCTGAAGTTTTGAACATTCAACAGAAACTACATTTTCCTCCTGGAATTCCAGTAAGTAATTTAATTTCAAGTTAGTATGGTACAAGTTCATAATTATAGAGTGCTCATTGAGGAATGAACTTATGAAAATACTAGCAGACTGAACAATAAAACCATTTATCTACAGCAAGTTTTAGTGTTTAAATACAGAAGGAGTTAGCATATGGTTTTTCTATTCAGTTTAAATGCGCCTCATACAAGGTCAGAAATGTGGAGTTCAGCATTATCTTAATACAAAGAAGAATCTACAATATTATCAGTCCTGGCACCTCAGCTTCAGTTATTTTCCCACCGCCATAATGTAGCTTCTCTGTGCCTTTTCTATAAATATATTCATGGTAATTATTCTGATAAGCTTTAAGGAATCTAGACTTTATGAATTTAAGCATAATACTAGATTGGCAGGGAGAGTCTCATCATTTTACAGTTGAAATGGCTAGTAAGTTCTGTGCTAATGATTTCTTATTTCTCACACTTTTCACTTGTGGAGCTCTCTTCTGGCTTTTTGCTTTCCAATCAACTTTGATCTTCAAAAATTTAAATGCAATGTAAATCGTTATCTTCTGTCTTATTAATTTGGATTCTTTTATTGTCTTCTCTCATTAATAGTAGTTTTTCTCATATTCTCTAACACTCGGTAACCTCTTGCATTCTATCGCTTTGCTTGGGGTGAAAATGGTTAAAAGAAATGTTTTCTGAAAGCATTCTTGATTTGGATAGAGATTACATCATCAAGAGTAGATGTCATCACATTATCTTTGCCAAAATAAATACATACGTATATATATATATCATATCAGAATACATAAGTATATATCATGTCAGAATACATAAGTATATATCATATCAGAATACGTATGTATATATCATATCTGAATACGTATGTATATATCATATCAGAATACATATGTATATATCATAGCAGAATACATAAGTATATATCATATCAGAATACATATGTATATATCATAAAAAACTACCTGGTTTTTATCATTCAAAAAAAATTTTCTCTCTATTCTTAGATTTTTCAGTTGAGTCATGATGAACGACATTTTATTTATTCTGGAGAAATGTTCAAGTGGAATGGTGAAGTCTGGAACAAGGTTTGTGCCACAAAATCTATCTTCTGATTTTTGTTCTATTTCGTTTGATGCATGTACATGTCATTAAGCAGTTAGTGTAGTCAATGTGGAAACTACCAGAAATAATCTCTGAATACACAGTGATTACTACTTCTGTGCAATAATTCTTTATTTTTTCTGCAGTATTGAAGAAGCTCATTTGCTTTTGTCAATGATCTCTTTGATTTGTCATTTTCTGCTCCTCCATCTCTCTTTCTCTCTCTCTATCAATCTCTCTCTCTCTCTCTCTCTCTATATATATATATATATATATATTATATACAATAGGAATTAAGATTACATCAAGATTATAATCATTTCACCTGTAGTGAAAGAGATAATCACCTCTCTTGAAAAAGAGTTTGTGTTTTGTCTGCCGAAGAAAAATTACCGAAAGTAGTTAGCAAAAATCTGCTACTTTAAGTATCAGTATCTATGCTAATGTTCTTTCCTCCCCTGAATGGTGTGGCCAATCAGAAAAATTGCTTGGTGAATAAAAGCCATTGTTTTTCACTTACGAGGGCAGGATTTTTTCTGAGCTTGGTGGATGAATATGCGTTTTTGCTGGTGAGAATGGAAAGTTGGATTTGTGACCCCATTTTGTTGTTTCTACGTTGCCTGTTGGACTGTTATGATGGACTATCGTTTGAACTGTGATTTGGCTACAAGTATTGCGGACGAGAGACAGAAGAAACCTATTGCAGGCATTTATTGTACTATAAGTTTATAGTTTTTTTTTTCTTTTCTTTAACACAACATCACCCCACAAATTGAAATTAATCTGGGTGGGTTTCAACACCCGTCATGTTAATAAGAGAAAATAAAATGAAACTGGCTTAAAAAGAAATTTAAAAACCAGGCAGATGCAAAAAAAGAAAGAAAGTAAAAAGAGAGACAAAAACGGAAGAAAAGAAAGAAAAAGTAAAAGAATTAGTGAAAGGATAAGATAGGAAGTGTAAGAGAAGGAGAAAGAAGGTATAGAGAGGGTAGTAATGTCTAGATATGGGGAATGGTAAGAGGAGATACATAATGTAGACTGACATGATTTATATAGAATATTCACCTCAGTTACATCGAAGTGGAAAATTAGGGAAGAATATTTTATAATAAAAAAATTACTATTAATCCAATATTAAGGGATATAATAATATATTTAAATTAAAAAGAAAAACTGGAAATATTAATATATTAGAATATTAAAAATATATTTATTTAATTGTTTTCTATTTAGGAAATGCCTTATTTAAATTCTTCATTTAAAATTAAATAAAAAGAACATATATTAACCTATTAAACTATTACAATCTACAAGGAAATGAAAAATCAGAGAAGATTTTAAATTTAAAACCAAATCAATAAAATATAAATACCTCATTAAATAATATTACTAGTATGAATTAATTGATAAATCATTATATGTGTATAATACAATATATATATATATATATAAAATATTAGTATATCAATATATATATATATATATATATATATATATATATATATATATATATATATTTATCGGATATACATAAATTCCCAAGAGGATAGAATCAGGTAGAACTCAGTCCAGGACAGAGTAAGAATATAAAAAGGTTCAAACACTAATATTCCATGGCAAATGTTATAATTTATTACATTGGAATTGTAATCATTTTTTCAATTCATCAGACCTACAAATTCAAAAAGAAATTGGAAAATATTTTCTGATTTCTTTTTGAATTTTTAGGTCTGATGAATTGAATAAATCCAGGTACAATGTAATAAATTATAACATGGAATATTAGTGTTTTGAAACCTATATATATATATATATATATATATCATAAACACAACATATCCAAATTATATATTAAAAAATTAAATCAATACTCATCATTAAATTAAATACTATTATGTTATCAATGACATGCTCTGTTTGAATAAAACATTGAGCTCACTATGAGAATCAGTTTTAGTATTGTTATTATATTAATAGGATTCACTTGGATTATATACCAACAAATTATTACCTATATATGTGTGTGCATGCAAATATATAGAAAAATAGGAAAGAACATGTTAGGTAAATAATCCAAAGTTCTTTAGTATTTTTGTTTTTATTTTTAACAAACAGTGCTCAATACATAAGTAGAGCCTAAATTATAATTATTTTTTAAAAATATGATTTCTTCACTACATAAAAGTTCTCATGTTTCAAAATAAAAATTATTAAACCATAGACATAAGTTAACAGATTTTTGTCAACATCAACAAATTTTCGCATTAAATAATTAGCTTAAAAACAAAAAAAAATTTCATAGTCTAATAAAAGGTTTAAAAGCTTAACCCAGTCATTAGATAAAAAAACCCTTTATGAAATCGTCAAAAAAACAAATTGTAGTTCAATATGATGCATTTATATACAAACAACACTTTTAGAAAAAAAAATCTTTAGACATTTAACAGCATAATAATGCCAATAACTCTCTGTTAAACAGACTAGACGATATGCGTATAATGAATGTCATCATTTGCTTTAAAATAGACACCCTGACCCTACCTTGACTTGACCTCTTTCCGAAAGTAACTAAGATGTTGATACAAATTGTTAACCCTTACACCCCTTATTGAAATAGTTACTTCAGCCATTTCCATAATAATTAATTTTATGAATGAATATGCTTATAACGTTGTGTAAATTTCAAGATTAGTTATTCCAAAAATTTTGCTTGAGGATGAAACAGAGCTTGATACTTTAAATCAATTTAATTTTAATAATTATATTGAAGTTTCGGAGAGGTCAGGAGATCTGTCCCTTTGTGATGAACCCTGCAGGTCCTGGATGGTGAGGCCCTGAAAGCAGCCATAGAGGAAGGCAACAGTCAAACCTGTGGTGAGCTTGCTAAACACGTCCAGATTTCTAATGAAACAGACTTCACCTGCATTGTATAGGAAAGATATACAAGTTGAGTGAGTGTGTCCCATACATTGTTGGAAGCCAACAAGCAACAGCTAGTGTCTAGTATTTCTTCTTGATTTCTTGGCCCCTCAGCATACCAGTTTCAGATTGAGTGCTCGCCAGCAAAGTGGATTCTGTATGACATGCCTAAGTGTGCCAGACATTTATTGTTACTATGAGAGCTTCATACTACAAGTGTTTTTCTAAAATTCCATATTTTCAAAATATGTTTACTCAAGCAATTTTCCAAATTTGGGGGTTGTTTAGCTCCCTTTTGAGAGTGATCACAGGAATCAAGCCACCCCCTAAACTCCAACTCCCTTCACATCTCATCTCATGTCATCACTCCATAGAGGCAGTGCTAATCTCTTTCTTCACCCACTTTCTTAGTATCCAACCCCAAGGACTGGTACATTGTCTTCGTGATGAATCTAAACTTTTAGTATGCATAGGCAAAGCAGGAATTTCCAGTCATTAATCTTTCTTTATCAGATTGTCTCCCCAACTGGCTGTTTTTCAGTTATTTCTCAATTGATCAGGCCACGCAGCTGGTCACCTATGGTCACTCGAGAGTTATTAATTAGTTTTTTCTTTTTCGCTTGTATCCTAAGGAATCCTAAATAATGTTGGTCATAAAAATTTTGACAAGCACCACAGAAATAAAAAATTATCTTTGGTACTAATCTCAGTTTTTGTAGGGATATTTTTCTTCTGGGTGGCAAATTCAAACCAGATGTTTTTCCTGGCTCTTTGTCCAGAATGATCTTAAATGTTATTTTGGTTTGCCACGTGGGTTTCTTTATTGACAACATATTTTTTTCTATTTTCCACAAGTGACATCTTCAAGGATACAATAATTGTCTCTTTCTTATTGGTGGGAAGATGGGAAGGATGGGTAGTCTTAGTTTTGCTCAATCTTACTGAATTCTATCTCATTAAATTTGATTTAAGTTCGATTCTCCTTGGAACTAATTTGGGATTTCATTTTATTATTTTGAAACATTATTTTTCAATGTATTTTGTTTTTAATTTTCTTAACTTTTCAATCCACTTTTCTGCAAATTTCAACAGTTATCATCCAGTTAGTAGACTCTTTTCTCTTTCCTTTTTTTTTTCTTTCCTTCCTTTTTTGATTGATTAAAGCTCTGAGGTCTCAGTATCACATAAGTACATAATAACTACATAAATGCATAATACAATGTAGATGTCCATAAAATTTTTTATTCATTTATTATTTCTTTTTAACTTCAGTTGCAGTTAATGCTGTTTTCAGACCTCCTGATGCAAACAGAGAAAACTTTTGATGGCATGCTGACTGTTGTTGAAGCACCAGTATTTCTTTCTTCTATTCAAGGGATTGGAATGCAGAGAAAGCATCGTAAGTCTCTTCTCTACAGTTTATACTTTAGTTTTTTTCTTAACTCATCTCGCTTTCCTAATAGAGTTAAGACTGTGCTGTTCTAGTCTTTTAAACTTGGCAATGAAAATCCTGGTTTAATATGGTACAAGGCTAAATGAGGAAGAGAGATTGCATCACATTGATTTTCCAAGTACTTCCTATTTGGAGCTAAGTTCAAAATTATTTTGTTAATATTATTTTCTTTTTTTGTAACAAAATAATAGCCATTCATATATTGTATGAATAGGTTACAAGACTAACAAAACAATACTTGCATTTTTTTTTAACCATTACCATGCTAATTTCTTTCTAGAGTTGTCTCCCCTGCCACTGCATTTTTTTTTTTTGAAAGTGCAAAGACATGAACCCCTACTGTTTTAAAATGGTTATAACTTTCTTTGTGTTCTGTGTATAGATTATCATTTTTGTACACTAATAAAAGAATGAATGAGCAATATTTTGATGTAATGCATTATGTAATGCATTCTGTTTTGTGTGCATGTTTTCCTGTTGAAAACAAAAAATTGAAATGTAAAATAAAAAACAAATACATTAAAAAATACATAAATAATTCAAAGTATTTTAACTTTTATTACTCCTTGTGGAGATCTGGATGTTCAATAAGAAGCAAAATCACTAAAAAGGCTTTCATTTTGTCAAAAAAGTGATGTGTTTCCTCGTGTTTACATACGAGAAGACACAAGCATTTGTTTGCTCTTTCTTTCACCTGACTCATATTTATTTGTCTCGCTGACAAAGAAAGTTTTTATTTCATCATTTATAAATAGACAAAATAATTCACCTTCAGAAAGGCTATCAGGTATATCGATGGTTACCAGTAGCTTCTATAAAGTTACTCAGGCATGGATGATAATAGCTGCTAGTGATCATTGTCACGTTCCTCCATATCACTAGTGTGGTTATCATCTTTGACCACTTTTCTGTCAATATCAACTTGAGTAAAGCCTTCATAATCATCTTCGGAGTCCTAATCAAAGAAAAACTCCTGAATAAAGCCTTTGTTGGATATTGATGTGTCCATTTTTGTTTACAAAAAATCACGAAAAAATTAATGTGGGTTTAATTGGTGTTACACTTTATGTAGAGTCTAGAAGAATTCAAAATGGTGTTGGAAAACGGAAGTTCAGCCTTCTTCCAAGGCAGTAGTAGGCAATTTCCAGCTTAAAATACTGGAAATAGCAGTTGGCAAGTGTTTATTTATAGCAACCGTCTCAAGGTGACAGAATGCACCCAAAGTAGCAAAGGGAGATAATTTTTGCCTGCAGCATAGTAAAGGTTAATCATCTAAGAGAATATTTTCTACATTTAATCAGCATGGCTAATGATAACCTCCAGGAGACAGATCCTTGGGTTAACCTTTTCTGCTGACAATAATTGGAAAGATTATATTGAATCAAGTGCTAGGTCTGCTGCTTGAAAAGTTGGTTCACTGTATCATGTTAGAGAATTTTTCTCAGCAGAACCTATATAATGTATTTATATGTCTACCATTTGTCTATGCATTAAATATTACTATCACATCTGGTCTGCTGCTTTTGTTATGTATTTAGAGATTCTTGATAAAATCCAAAGAAGAATCTGCAATGTTATTGGTCCTGACCTGGCATTTCATCTTCAGTCACTTTTGAAGATCAAAATTGATTGGAAAGCAAGAATTGGAAATAGAGTTCCACAAGCAAGAAGTGCGATAGAAGAAACTTTTAGCATAGAACTTATGGTTACATCTAGCTATTTATCTTGCTGCCAGTCTAGTAATGCACTTAAATTCATAAAGTCTATCTACCAAAGTGAGAAGCTTGTCAGAAGAATTACCATGAAAGTATTTATAGAAAAGGCACAGGATAGCAACTTTATAGCAGTGGGAATGTCACTGATGCCAGGTCAAGACCAGTAATATTGCTGATTCTTCTTTAGATTTTATTAAGAATCTGTAAATATATAGCAGGAACAACAGACCATATGTGGTAGCAATATTCAAATCAAGAATGTATGGTGGACTTATAAATATGGAGAACATGTTTTATAATCAATTCACCCCAAGCAAAGCAACAAATCCACTGACACACAGGGGGTTACTGCATATGAAAGAATATAAGAAAATAATTATTAAGGAGCATGAACAATAAAAAGACAGGAATCAGTAAGACAAGAGATAACAACTGACATAAATGATGAGACCTAGCTGCCAATCTAGTACTGCACTTAAATTCATGAAGTCTAGGTACCCTAGAGGAAAGTTCATCAGAACATTTACCATGGAAGTATTTATGGAAAAGGCACAGGAAAGTTACATTATGGTGGCGTGAAAGAGACTGAAGCCAAGATATCATGTCAGGACAAATTCTTTTTTGGATTTTATCAAGAATTTCTAGATACAAAGCAGAAGCGCCAGACCAGATGTGTCAGCAATATCAAATGCATGGACGATTGTTAGACTTATAAATGTGTTTTGTCTTTGTTTTAGAATTCACTGTTAAAACAGAATCTTGCTCAATAAACTTAGTGACAGCACTTCACTAAACAAATAAAAAAATGTTAATATTTAACAGAAACGAGGGATGTATGTGGCACAAGGCCAAGTTTACTGTGTGTTCTCCGAGCCCATAGGATCAGCCAAAAATATTCCTGTAGAACCTGCATGAACAGGTTCCGGTCTGTTTACCTTCAGCACAGCTTTGTCCGGGTTCCTCTCTGCTCAAGGCAGAGAGTTTGACAGTAACGAACAGGCTATATTACTGTTCCACAAATAAAAAAATGTTCACTGAGGAGAAATTTCAATAAATTTAAATAATGCCTAAAGGTTAAATCCACTTTGGCAAGGAAGGGAGACAAGCCTGCTACTGCCACTGCTTAGAACACATCCATTAAGCTGAGGAGTGGGAATCTGATATCTTCAGGAATTTGTTAGCTAAGGATGGTGAGTTCAATCCTAGGTAGGAACCACAAGAGTCAGCATAGTTAACATGAGTTGTTTCAAAGTCCTACCCAGAGACTTCAATAGACAAGTTTTCTGCTGACTGAAGTCAAGAGGGGTAGGAGAAAACAATGCATAAACTATCTAGCAAGTTTGTGTAAATGGTTTAGAAGAGATTACAAAAAGACAATATTGGGAGTTACAAAGGACTGGAAATTCTGGAGAGCCAGGGATTTGGCATGTAGAAGAAGAAGAAGAAGAAGAACGAGATTGTATAAATAGATGGTGGGACAATGTTTAGAACAGACAACAAAAAGACAAAATTTATTAAGAGCTATAAAGGAAAGGAAATTGTGGAGAGTCATGACCACCCATGTTTGGTCAGACTTAGAATAATCTCAAACAACTTTCTAAATTCATTAATTTTTAAAGTATCATCTATATAACTTTGTGATATCATGAGTAGGATTTATTTATGATTTAACAAACATTGAATTCTTCTTCTTCTATGTGCTGTGTCCCTTCAGGATGTTGGCAATCATGGCTCTCCACAATTTCCTCACCTTTGTAGTGCTTAATACATTTTCTTTTTTTTTTGACATACTTACCTGGCCCAGGGATCTGTACCTGTGCTGGTTGTATCACAGCTACGACTAGCTTGGACCAGCTCTGACCAGCTTGGGCCAGCTATAAGAAGCCAAGACCAGCTATGACTAGCTTAGACCAGCTCTGACCAGCTTGGACAAGCTATGACCAGCTAAGACCAGCTTGGACTAGCAGCTTGAGTGAAAACACCTGGGTCCCCACATTAAAAACTGACCTTGTGTCACAACCTGACTCAGTGTGGGTCAAGTAAATCTCCTTAATACATTTTGACATTTTGCTATCACTTCTAAACCTTGTTCTACCATCCATTTACTCAAGCTTGCTAGATAGGGTATGGGTTGTTTTGCTCTGTCCCTTTTGCATTCATTCCTTCTATGAGGATCAAAATTTCCAAACTTGTTCTCATTATGTGCCCTAGAAATTTCAATTCTCTTTTCCTGATCTGAGATGACTGAACCCAATGTGAGATATGGCTGCTAACCATAACAAGATGCCATGTTAAAGAAAAAGTAGAAATTCATTGGAAATGATTTTACTATAGAAATGCATTCAAAATTAATTGAATACAAGCTCTTTCTGGAACCTGGAATATTATGACTAAGATTTATGAAAAAATCCATCAAGGTATAGTTCCTCTAATGATTCCATATCTGGTGATATAGCAAATACTAAAGCATCTATGAAATTCACTGCAAATGATTTTTTACTATAGGAATGCATTAGAAATTATTTGAATACTAGCTCTTTATGGAACCTGGAATATTATGGCTAGGATTTATGAAACAAATCCATCAAACTTTCATTCCTTCTAATGATTCCATATCTAGTGATATAGCAAATATTAAAAGCATCTATAGAAATTCATTGCAAATGATTTTACTATAGGAATGCATTAGAAATAATTTTAACTTTTATGGAAGCTGGAAAACATTTTTAAAACAAATGATGTGTGTTTCCTTCTAATTAATTGATATATGATAATATAATTTAATTTATTCCTATTAGAAATAAAACACACACACATGTTTATATATATATATATATATATATATATATATATATATATATATATATATATAATATATCAAATTATATTTATAGGGGACGGATATTCAATATTGAAGATTGAACATTTATAAATGAAGACTTTAAGGAATCAACATTTCATTGTGTCTGTCTGTTTTACACTTCTGCAGGTTAAAACCTTGTTCTGAAGATTGCATTGAAATAGGAAATGGATAGTCACCATGAAGTGTTGATTCCTATGTCTATGCTATGCATATATTGATGGATAACTTTTTATCTTTTACTTGTAGCAACTGACTTCATCCTTCATCTCATTGATGCAAGTGGGAAAAATTCAAAGATGCTTTTCCGAGCACCTTGCATTGAACAGAAATACACCTGGAAAAGTCTCATTGAGCAGCGAATCTTGAGTAACAGAAGTGGTAGCCTAGAATCCTACATTAATCGTCCCAGCATCTCTGGAGCCTCTGAGGGATTTATAATATGAAAAAACAGGTG